AAAAAATAGTGAGGATTTTTCAGTGAAAATAGTCATTTAGAAAATGATGGACAGTCATATTGTGGAAAAAAAGTGCTGTGAAATTTATTTTATGGTAGTGTCTGTCATTCTTTCAGGAAAAATTATCAGCAGATTCAATAGTTGCAAAAGAATTTCATAAATACTTTGTAATTATCTTGGGAGGGGGGATTTACATCCATCTAAAGTATACAACATTGAGCTGAATTTTTAACCCTCCCCCCCCCAAAAAAAAACTCTTGCTGCTACCTAGTAAACTTCGTATCCTAGCTTCAAATCAATCAAAGAATAATTATTGCTCTTCTTAAAGTATCTTCTGGTAGGATGTTAGAAATAATCTTTGTTTCCAGCACTAGAACACATAATATAAATATCTGTTTTTTTGTTTGTTTTTTTTTTTTTTTTGGGGGGGGGGTAACTGGTAAATGGGAAGACAAAAAAAAAAAAAAACAAAAAAAAAAAAAAAAAAAAAAAAAAGAAGCCTCATATATTTAAGAATATAAACATATATCATGTTATCACTTCCAGCACAGTACAAAAACCATTTGGTTCCTTCTTCCTAATGTTTTGGACCATTTGGTTTCTAATTTATGGAGCAGAAGGTTACCAAACGCATTAAGGGATGTTATAGGCACAAATTAATTTCAGAAATCTTCTGTAAAATGAAGACTAAAGACACTAGATTTATCACTGCTGTTAAGATTTTCAATATCAAGGTTAGCATTTACATAGTGAAAGGCCTGTTAAGAAATGCTTTGATCTACATATGGTATATGAAATATGAAAGAAAAGAACTAACTTTAATTTAGCAATAGTCCCTTTATTCCTTATTTAAATTTAGCTACATCTCCTTCTTGGAATATAAAGTATGTCATATGAAAATTAATTCACATCGCACCATTATGTGAGAGTAGCATTGCAGATATTTTTTATCATTTGCAGTCTAAAATTTAAGCAAAGGAATTAACTGTATAAATACACATTTGCTGAAATGCACTCACACTTTACCTGCCTTCCTCTCGCTGTCCTAATCTATGCTGCTCATTTCATCGCTTCATTCCTCGTCTCAAGATGTCACCCATTATACTAAACTGTGGGGGTGCTTTCTGCACCAAAATGATATCTAAACAGGAATATGTGTCATTAGAACTAGTTATCAAGGAATAAAATTGCATCTTATTATCTATGCCATACCTGCAATTTTTTTTCTGCTCTGTTATACATCTTCGGACTTTACTCAGCTGTGGTATTCTCTATGTGAAGTAAAGAATCATCAAGCATCTACAGAAGTTTTATTACATACATTTATCAAATCTGGGAGAAACCAGTATCATGGTGTACAGCCAAATGTAAGCAATTTAAAAAAAAAAAAAAAAGAAGAAGAAGATAATCTGCAGGAGCACCTGAAGTGAGTGAGAATTGCACTTAATTTATGAAGAACTTCCTGAGTGTAATTGATTTATTGAAGGAAATGTATAGAATTATTTAAATGTTGTTAATAAGCTCAAGAATGAATTCTTAAATGATGGTGAAATCATCCAAGCAGTTAGCAAAGAAGCAGCCATCTAGAAAGGAAAAAAAGACACAAATTAGCCTTGCAAAAGCAAAAGCAACTCAAGTTTTGAGAGCAGCAGAAAGAATCAACTTCACTTGATGTATGCAATTTCTTTTGGTTGGCCATTTCATTATTTGGCCAAAGATCTGGTACTGTGGTGTATGCTTATGAGGATACTTGCTCTATGTATTAAAATCTTAATTATAGAAAATATTTCATTATAATTACCTTTAAAATGTGGTTTTTATTTATTTTCATAGCATTTTTGTGACCTGCTTATTATGTTTGATAATACTTATGTTTAGAATAAATAAATAAAATACAAAATTTTAATTCATTTGTTGAAAGGTGTATAATAGATAATGTCTTTTTGTTGTTGGACTTCCAGGTTGTGAAGTGGCTAGATTAGATTTACGGGTTATGCAGATTAGATGTGAAGAAATAAAACAAAATTTCCCAGTAAAAAAGTTGAAATTTTTATCTAAATTTTTGAACCAGGGCTTCATAAAATAAAAACTTCTCTTATTAAATTAAATTTATAAACCTGATGAGAAATATAAAATTAGAGACTTCTCAGGCTGTTTGTAGGTAACCTAATTATTAAAGCTACTATTCTTTTTATTGATATACTGGAGGAACTTCAACCCATGGTCTACTGCAACTTCTTCACAATTTAAACTTTGATTTTTTCCTCTTGCTTTTATTTCCATGTAAAGAGGTTTTAGGAATATAAATAACTACAATATTTATATTTATAAATAAAAAAAAAGTATTGTCTAGAATCCTTTGATCAAGTAGCAGGTATTGGATTAGCAAATTTTTAGTTATTGAGAAGTATAAAGTATTATTGCGGGACATACTGGCTCACTTTACTAGTACCATTAAGAAGTATTAAAACATTATTTAGAAGCACACAGGTAACTTTGCAGTTTTTATATATTGATGACCTTTATATTATAATAAACAATGCATTCAGAAAGTAACTATGCACTTGCATGATTACAAATGTACGTGATTATGTGGTGAGATATTTTTTAACTGGTGCAATTTGAGGGAATGTTTTATATAATTATTGGTTACAGTGCAGTTGCTTTGCCTGAATCAGTCCTTGCTGACTTTGAGAAGGACGACATGTGTTGCACATTGTTGCGTGTCCTTGGAATTGAACTCGTTAATCCAAGTTTAATGTTTTCCTTTTATCTTCAGGATGGTGATAACTTTAGAACATCAAATATTCCTCATTGAATATGTGTTCCATGATCATGGCCAGTATACATAGACAGTAAAAAAGCAGTTTACTAGTAAAATTTTCATGCATACTGGTGCCTAATTGAAACAGTCTCAGAGCGCTTATCGAGAGACTTGGAGAGACCAGATCAGTAAGTGATTATCTATGGAGTGGGAGACCATCCGTACTGACCAAAGAAAAACTGCTATATAGCCCCAGCAAGTCCATACGAAAATTGGCCCAGCAGGAAAACATTAGTGTTGTGATGGCACATGAGGCCATTTGAAAGAAACTTGGTCTCACTCCATATAAAGTGAAAGTAGTTTGAAAAATGAATTCAGTTTTGTGAATGGCTTGAAGAGTTCCTTGCGGCCAATTCTGATGATATATTAAACAATGTTTTTTTACTGATGAGGCATGGTTCCATTTATCAGGGTACAGAACTTACGTTTATGGTTACATAAAAATACATACTCACTTCACGAAGTTCTGCTACATGACCAAAAACTTGACATGTGGATTGCAATACCCAGGAGAATAATAGTATGCTCAATATTCTTTGGAGAAATAATCAATTCTGATTGTTATTATGAAGTTATTTACAAGTTCATGGAAGACCTAACAGAGGAAAAAAATAACAATGTGTGAATTCAACACAATGGCATACCACACACATAGCTTATAAATGTATTAAATTACTGGAAGATGTCTTTGGAGATTAAATCATTTCAAAGGGTTTGTAGGCACCTCGTTCTCCAGATTTAAACCCTCCGGATTTTACTGCTGGGGCTATGCAAAAGCTAATTATTATCACCTGAACTCCAACTCATTCCCAGAACTGGAAACTGCTATTCATGATTTCACTAAGAACAATCCACATGCACAACTTGTCACAGTTTTTGAGAACATGAAGAGATGTGTGCATACATGTCTGAAGGCTCATGGTGAACAATACCAACAGTTACTGTGAGGTAAGTGAAAGTTATGTATTACTTTTTCCACAGCGTGAGGCATGCACAGTTACTTTCTGAATGCACTGTGTGAATACTCTCTTATGCTTTTTACAACATATACCACATTACAGTGCATATTTCCATCTTATCTATGTTTCTTTTACATTTAAGGCATTTTAGTTTAGTTTCATTGTCTAAGAAATTTAGTTAATTTGCTTTTATTAATATCAGTTATTTTCTCTCTCTCTCTCTCTCTATGTATATATATAAAGCACAAAATATGTAATTTATAACAGGAAAGTCTACTTTACAGATAAACATTTTGCAAAAATGGCAACAAATCAAATTCATAAATTCCCTGTTTTATATTTCACCAATTATCAAGCATACTGTAGTTCAGATTCATTACTATCTAAATGTGCATAGTTGCTTTCCAGAAAATAAGAACAAAGGAGCGAAAAGATGAGACCTAGAAGAAAAATAAAATAATAATACAGAAATATATATAATGATTAACAATTAATGAATACAATGATATGTTATTATAAGGTAATTTAGTGATACTGTAATATTTTATCACAGATCTAACTAGTTAATAGTTTAAGCAGATTATTATTAGTTATCCCTGATATAACCAAAGCTGACTCTCCATTTCATACATTTTCTTACTCATATGTAAACCTTGTTGAATTCAGCAAGTCTGAAAGAAATATATTTTTACACTGGTGAAGGGTTTTTTAGCAAGGTGACTGTTGAGCTTTGCTGTTGGATTGGGTCCATTCCAAATTCGATAGAGATCATCAGGGCACAGATTCAAGATCTTCAAACCCTTTTCCCTTACCATAAACTTCTCAAGAGAATTTCAGTTTGAAATTTTTTTAAATACCTAAAAGACACAAACATCTGTATCTTCTCTGCTATTAATATCCACCCCAACGCTATGGCAGTTGGCTTCCCTACCAGCATGCCAACAGGCAGCATAGGAAGGTATAATAATATGTACAGCTTTAAGCTAAAAGCCTTTTGAAAAGTAATAAAAATGTAGAAGTCAAAATTTATGTTAAAAAAATTATGTGTGTGATCAATAGTCAATCATCAAAATTAGTTTAAATGTATAAAATAATTGTTATTAATTTTAATCATTATGCTTTTTTATAATGTCATAAACCTAAATTTTTTTATTTTATTATATTTTAAACTCATTTTTCTGTCAGCTGGTTGATAATTTTGAATAACTTCTTTACAGGATATTAATTTTTCATATGCAGGTGGCTGTTTAACTACTTCCAAGAGATTAGACAATAAATATGTTCTGCTGTATTCCACTGGAAGGAAGTTTGATAGACTGGGTTAGTATATTTACTAGATGAATGTTTTGGTTACTTTAAAGTTTTAAAGTACTTTAAAGTTTATAATTATCATGATATTTATATTCAGACTTGCACATATCTCATTCTGTTTTGTGGCATTGGGTTAGAAAGAGATCAATATATTGTGGATTGCATCTGAACCCATTAATAGACCAAATCTATTCAGAATACTTATAATTAATTTAGAAAATGTTATAGGTTGAGTATTGCAATTGGATTATGGAGGTATAAAAATTTCAGGTGAGAAACCTTCAGCTGATACTGAAGTGGCTCAACTACTTGTAAATGAAATAATCGAATTCAGTAATAGTGAAAAGCTACCTCGAAAGCAAATATACAGTGCTGATAGAACTGGTCTTTTCTTACAATATGTGTTCCGGAATACTTTGGCAACCTCTACAGAAAAAGCCCCAGCTGGTTAAAAAAGTTCTAAAGCAAGAATAACAATTTTAGCACGAGAAAATGCTGCAGGAATGTGGAAATGTAAACTTTTTGTAATTGGTAGAAATACATGACCTCAAGCATTAAAAGGAGTTACATTTATTCAGATTACTTATAATTAATTTAGAATATGATAATTTTATAATTTCTCTATTGCAACTCTAAATTCTCCCGCTGCCTTTACGAACAGTGATCTTATTCTATATTTATTTCACTGAAAAGATTGCATCATTTGTAAGTTTGAAATTCTTATTTATTATAAGTGACATTATAAATCAAGTGCTTTTGGTTTTTCTTCCTTAGATAACTGAAGTAAAAATTAAAAATTGCACTTAAATGATAGAAAACATTAAAATTGTAGTTCTACTAATATAGCTTCAAACAGAGTGTAGCATTAAGCAAAGCTTGTTTCCAAAAAACAAAATAGTGACGGATAAAATGGAAAAATCTTTATCATCATGGATTGATGATGCACATCAAAATTATGTTCCTCTGAATTTTTCAATTATTCAAGCTAAGGCTCTTAGTTTGCATGAAGATTGGAAGACTAGATTAAATGCAGATTCAATAACTGTGTTTCAAGCAAGTAATGGCTGGCTCGACAAATTTTTAAAATGAGGTATTCTTTACATAGTATTAAAATCAGTGGAGAACTGGATGATGCAGATGAAGATATTGCAAATGAATTTTATTTCCTCATTGTCCAGAATTATTGTAAATGGAGAATGTTCTTCTAGTTAAATATTCAATATAGATGAAATGGGTTTATTTTGGAAAAAAATGCCGGATTTTACATTTTTATCAATGGAAGAATCAGTTGCCCTTGAACAAAAAACTTCCAAAAAGTGACTGACATTGCTTCTTGGTGGAAATTTAGCTGCTGATTTAAAATTAAAGCCATTGTTATTTTACCAAGCAGAAAATCCCAGAGCATTGAAAGAGAAAGCAAAAGAATTGCTTCCAGTCATTTGGAAATCAAATAAAAATGTGCGAGTTACTAAGTGTTAATATTTAAAGACTGGTTCACTTTTCATTTTGTACCAACAACTAAGCCATATTGTTAAAATAATAATTCACAATTTAAAACATTATTAACAAGCTCCAGGATAGCCAAAATCTGTACAGAATTTATACTTGGAAATCAATGTTGTGTTTCTTCCTCCCATTAATAGTTGCATTTAAATGATTAGTAATGACTAGGTCCATCAAGACAACTGACAGGGAAGATGGACAAATATTAACAGATAATTAGAAGAACTATAAGATATGGAATGCAATAAATAACATTGGGGACTTGTGGGCTGAAATAAAAGAGTCAACAATGAAAGGTTCCTGAAAACAATTATGCTTGACAATGATGAGTGATTTTATAAATTTTGGAAGAAACACCTGAAGCTATAACAGATAAACTAGTTAGCCTAATGAATGAACTAAACTTGGACATCAGCAGTGAATATGTTAATGAGTTAATTGAATCTCACTCAATACCTCTGTCAGATTAATACTTAATTGAGCCACAATGAAATACACAATGAAAATGATGAAGAAGCTGAAAAAAATGCCCATACTCTGACAATTAAAGATATGAATGAGATCTTCATGCATCTTGACAAATTGGCTATCATGGAAGAATGTAATCCCAATGGTATATCTCAAGTATGTTAGGCGATTGAAAAAGACACAGCATGGCACTGAAATCTTCATTAAAAAAATAAAATAAAAGGTAGTATTCAACTCAACCTTGGCAAGTTTATGAAGAAAATACTCGAAAGCACTTAACCACACCTTATTAACTTCATTATGTGTACACACTGATAAACAAATATTTTAAAGCATAGATTTGATGCATATTTTATTTTTTTTTTACATTTGTGCTTTCAAACAGTTCAACATTTGCACACACTTTCAGGAACCAGTTATGTGCGAAAGTTGAGAGGTGCCTGTATATTATTTGTGTATATGTACACTGCTCAAAAAAAAATGGGACAGTCCTATATCTCCCGATCAACTGGGCCGATTGACAAAATTCAAATTGCGTTCTTCATGTCTCGAAAGCGCGACTTAGGATATATATTAGATTTATATATAGCACTATTCTAACATTGGTATTTTGACACAAAATCGGACTTTTTCTGAAATAACATACCACTTTTTTTTTTACATATTTCGATTCTACGACTCAAATTACGCCTAAATATGAAATTTTGTAAATTTTTGAGTGAAATTTACGGAGAAATTCACAAATTTATGTTGGCACTTTTTTGTCAGTTTGCGCCAAGAATACTTCACTTGGCGAACTTCTTAATATATGGTAACCTAGTTTCCTTTCCCGTGAGAGGAAAAAAAGTCACCATCGTTCCTTTTTTCCAAATAATATTTTTTATATTATATTTTTAATTATAACTTATTATTTTAAGTAATTTTTTCTTTTTCGAATTTCATTTTAATTGTTTAAGTTGCACTTTTTTTTTTTTTTTTTTTTCGAATAAACTGTTTTAAAAATTTCTATTTACCTATTCGAACTGCGTAAATAAAGGTGCAGCGTTTATTTTTTGTTTTCAAATACTTTTCTTTATATATATATTTTCGTCATAGTTATTATTTTAGGTAATTTTTAAAATTGTTTATTACTTTTATATTTTAATTGTTTGTGTTGCATTGTCTCTTCAGATAATTGTTTTAAAATTTTCTATTTATTTCTTAGAACTGAGCATTTTAAATATATTTATTAATATCAATTTTCCAGAATTTGATTTTATTTATTTGAACTGCATTCTTTCGTAAGAATACTTTGTAACCCAGACTACGATGAGTTTGGAAAACTGCATACTATATTAAAAGAGAAAATACAGTAAAGCACAGTTTTACACGCCTTTCAATGTTCCGTTCAGAAAGATATATATAAATAAGAGAGATGTATAACTGACATTTTAACTTAGGATGACTTGCATACACTGCTTTAAACAGTTTTATCATTGTGCCCATTGCTTTACACAATTTTATCCTACATTTGGTTTCTTAAAATGTTATTCATATTTTAGTCAAATATTTTATTTTTGAAATCAAAAGAATCAAATATCATAACATTGAAAAATTTTAAATTAAAAAAAAAAAAAAATACTAAATTTAACGAAAAAATTTATTTTTCTTCTCTTTTTCTTTAAGCATTCTGAAAGTATATTAAAAAGTATCCAACTTTTCGAAACATTTTTGTATTTTCTGACAATCATTTTTTAAATAAAGTTATCGCCTTCCATTTCATAAAGGCCCACAACGGCCGAGCGGTAAAGACGCTGATCACTGGTAGTTCGTCCGAGGTTCGAATCCCGCGAAAAGGCCAGGCTGGTTGCATGGGTGTTTTCGTGGTTTTCCTGATGTGTAACGTGTATACGAGCCAGTTTCCCTTAGAAAGTCCTCCACGAAGGCATCCCTCCCTTTAGGCAGATAGCCCTCGTGTGCTTTGCCATAATTAAATAATCCAATCCAATCCTTAACTAAATATAATTGATTTGTAACTTCTACTAGAACTGACGTTAAGAATTGAAGTGCAATAAATAATATCGTGTGCAATCTTGATTAATAAAAATTTAAAATATTTGCATTCAGACAGAAAGTTTTTTTGAAATATTTGCAATTACTTTATAAGAATGATTTATTAATAACCGTAATAATTACTTATTATATTACTGATGATTAGGAATCAGTTCTTGACAATTACATTCTAAATTAGAATTTTAAGAATTATTAGAATTTTAAATTAGAATAATGAAAATACGCTACGCACAAAAATACATTTTAGGATAAAAAATGAGTTGATTTTTTATTTTTTAAAACTTCTTGAATTCATTTAATAAACATCGTATCCTCGTTGTTAATTGAATTCAGAATGTTGGGTTGTCATTTATATAATTATTCTTACTTGTCCACGGAATCTGCTGACTTATCCAGCGATTAAATAGCTGCAGATCATTTCTACATAACCATTGAACTTCCATTTAATTCAGTCTCTAGAGGGTTGTATATTTATATCATAATTTGACTTTTATAAAAATAATTATTCTAAATCTTATGTTTCTATAAAAATATACTGTGCTTTAAAAATATGGATGATAGTACCAGCCGCTCTTTCAGCCATTTCAAAGCATCAGTTTGTTTAGAAATAAATTTGTGCAGTTAATGTCATAAAATTCAAATAAACATCAAATGAAAATTCTCAGTTTTTAGACAATTCGATTTAAATCGAAGTAAAGTAGCAGACGATAAAACGCCGAAGGTAAAATTTACTCATACAAAAATTTACTCTTATTTAAAAAAAAAAAAGAAAAAAAAAAAAAAGATAGAGAGAAATTAAAAAAAAATATTAAAAAAATTTATTTATAAAATAGCTTTTCATATAGTATTAATAAATATTTATTACGCATTATTGAGGGAAAAAATGTCATATAATTAATTCTCCGTAAAATTTTACTTGAAATTTAAGGTTAAAAATAGCTGTGGCAATACAGTGTAACAAAAATCCATAGACCACATTTGGCGTTATTATCGCTCAAAAAAAAGATGCCAAATTTCAAAACGCGAAAATATGTAAATATGTGTATATCTTAGAAAATTTTGAATAAAAAAGTCTAATTTTTTGCAGATATGCTTAAAAATATACCTACTTTAAGATGATGGTAAAAATTTTATAGGTTATAATTCAAAATTTTTTTTTCGAAAAATTTATAAAAATTATTTAAAAATAGAAATTTAAAAATAAAACACAAAAATGGTAAATTTTTATTTGGAATGAACCTAAATTTCGAAATGTGAGAGAAAAAATCAAAAAAGTTTATAAAAAAAGAGATATAAATAAATATTTGCCAAATTCAATTAACATTGAGGAGCTAAAATTTTTGAGAGCTAATATTTCAAAAACTACTCGTACGATTTTTACAAAACTTGGTATTCTGGCATAATTTGAGTCGTAGAATCGAAATATGGAAAAAAATTGGTATGTTTTTTCAGAAAAAGTCCGATTTTGTGTCAAAATACCTATGTTAGAATAGTGCTATATATAAATCTAATATATATCCTAAGTCGCGCTTTCGAGACATGAAGAACGCAATTTGAAGTTCGTGAATCGCCCCAGTAGAACGGGAGATATAGCACTGTCCCCTTTTTTTTTTTTTTTTTTTTTTTTTGTGCAGTGTACATATATAATTATCAGTTTTCTATTTATGATTGTCTTCTAGGAAAGGAAATGTAAAACTATTGCAGATTGAAATTAGGAAATGTTAATACTTAAGAGCACTGCATTAAAACTATTAGAAACTTTTAATAAACTTAAAAGAAGTTTAAAATTTGTGAAGGTATGCTTCAAAATCGTACATTTAAAAAAATAAAAAGAATAGTACATACATAAAAAGTAAGTAAATTATTGTTGAAGGAAGAGGGTTGACTTATCAAGGGGATTTAACCATTCCCCTCAAATCTGCAATAATTTGATATGATTGCATTTGTCTTCTATGTATGTTTGAATGAATACTTTTAATTCCAAAACTCTAATATATAAAATTTGTATTTAAATGAATAATTATTAATTTTCAAGTATGAAGGTAATTCCCCAGTGCAACCAAAACATATTTACAAAAAGGTTGATGTAAAAATTAATGGGGGATTTAGAACTATCATTAAAATTGGCAATGCATATAAAATCAGTGTAAGAATATTATATACATTTTAAACTATCATATGGTTATCATGTTGTAATTACATGCATATACAAAAATATAGGCAAAAAATATAATATTAATTCTAACTTAGTTTAAACTCCATAACTGCTATTGTGAATCTTATATACGTGTATATACATATTTAATTTTTTTATTTTTATTATTTCAGCCATGACCACTTTGGAAGAAAATCACGAGCCATATAAATGTCTTAGAGCTGTTGAAACTGTTAATGTCAAATTAAAGAGAGGCAACATTTTACAAGTTGTAAGTAATTTTAATGGTAAGTTTCATGTATGTGGTACATATTCATTTTATGTTATGTAAAATTTACTTTCCATTTCCTAATTGAAATCTTTATCAAACTTCTCAGAATCGAGTTTCCTTGTTGCATTCCTTAAGTATGTAATTTGATCTCTAAGAATTCCTGTTAATGCAAATTCATATATTTTAATACGATTTTCTCATAGTATAATAAAAATACATATCATTATATGATTGCTGAATGAGAAACATGAATATAGTTCATTTCGATTGAAATATAAAGAGGGTTTTCTCAAAATATAGTGAATAATTCTGATGTTGAATGTTTCTGTAGAGTTTTGTCAGAATTTTTGTCATTAAAATTTTCACTAATTAGTAACATTTATTATCTCAAAATATGTAACATGAAAATTCATGGAAAGCATATGAATTTTTTGTCACATAGTTTACATACAGGGTTAGTGAGTTTCCCACTTCAGAGGGCTCTACAATGCTTTCTGTTGGTCCAAATGAGATAACATTTGAACTACAGATTATTCAAATGATGCGCTTGATCATGGGTATCTAAACTATGACCTTTTGAAGGCCACATTGCAAGGAAAAAAAAAAAATTTCCGAAGCCACACATAGAATATTTTTTAACAAATTGAAATAAAAATTAGCTCTGTGTTGTTTTATTGAAATAAATTAACTTCTTTTTATTATTATTTTTTTAAATTTTTAATTAGATATGTATAGGTACATATTTATTATTAATTTGAAAAAGTTTTGTTTCATTTAGTTTGGATTTCATAAAGACAGAAAAAATTCAAATTAATTAAATGGATGAATTTGCTTTTGTTGAACAAACAAATCAATATCAGGTTCAATTGACGGAGTTGAAATTCTTAATGCATTTTCAAGATGTTTGCCAGTGATCTTTGTCCAGTTTTTGTTTTTTGTGTGCTTCATTCTTGAAAAGAATTGTTTACAAATATTGGTACTGCCAAAAGCTGAAGTTATTAATAAAGCATGATTGTGAAAATTAGGATATTTATCGCAGGGTAGGTAATCTTTATAAAACTGCAGTAAAGAAACATTTTCAAATTTTTCTTTTAGTTGGATGTCACTTTGCAGTTAATACATCATGACATACTAAGATGTTTTTATTTAAATTTTTATTTTAAAATAAATGCCAACGAATCGATTACATATGTATCAAATGCAAACACTTATTTTTTTCATAAAAATGTGTAAATTGAAATTTGTGTTTGGGCCGCACTTTAGACACCCATACTCTTGGAATTTATTAAATAAACACTTTTAGCACAAAAATCTGCTGATAAATAACACTGTAATACAGATAAAAATACTGTGCTTAAACTCGGACTAATCTAAAATAAAACTAACATTTATTTCAGGACTCGGCAATTTTTCCGATGTAAAACCCTTAGCCTTCCATCTAAGTCAACTGTATAATCCCAGAGTATTCTGGGGTAACCGCCAAATTGTCTAAAACCCTTTAAAAAGATCTGCCAAGTTGTGTCCAGCTTCTTTGCAGTCATTTTTATCCTTGCAATGAATATCCCGATTTCTTCATCAGGTGCATATCTAATGTTCAAAAACTCATCTAGAAGCTGAATTATTCTGGTTCTTGTTTTTGGTTCAGATTGCTTATCTAGAACCTCCCATGCTTACCACTTGAACATTATTGTATCAATGACCTGAACTTAGTTTAGTTCCACAATATAACGTAGTGAAGGCTGTATTTTCTTTTGACATGAAATCCTTCTTTAGTTTTAGTTCCACAATATAACTTAGTGAAGACTGTATTTTTCTCTCGACATGAAATCCTTCTTTTCATGCCTTGTTGAACTTTTATCCAGTTCTTCTTTACCTTCTGTGATGTTGGAAGAATTTCTATCTAGCAACAACTCCTTTGTATCGACTTACTATCAACATGTTATCGGTTCCAGTTATCATGGCTTAACAGTTCAAATCCTTCTGATAGTAATGACATCTTCAGTTATATATGAGCAGAACAGCTTGAATGAATTTCTAAAAATAGGTCAGTTTCTCTTTGTAGATAACATTCCTTCAGTGCTTAATTGAACTGGGCCTATTATTTGTTGGTGTTGGACTTGTAGAAAAAGCACTTGCCTTGCTTACAAATTGGGAGTAATCTAAAATAAAACTAATATTTATTTCATAACTTAAACAACTGTAGGCTGTAACTGTAGCTTTTACATTAAAACCCAAAAGAAAGGGAAAAAACTAGTGAATAACCTCATGTTCACCGATTCTGGCATATATAAATATCCATTATCGGCCAATTTGTGGATATTGTGTGTTATCGGCTAGCCAGTGGCAACCACATAAGTTTACCACCAATTGAGTTCTAATCTAATTTACATGAGGAAAAACCAAAGACAAAACATGAAGTCAACGGTCTGTACACAAGGCGACCAGCCATTTGTGTATCACTCACGTCAGTTCATTGAAGAGAACATTTGAGGTCGTGACGTCAGTACATCCATTGGATGGCTGATTAGTGGAGGGCTTTTCTCTTTGCAGTTGAGTTCAGGCTTAGCCTCCAAAGCAGTATTAGGTCTTATTTGATTTGGAGAAAACCTGGGACCCATTATCATCCATTAAACATCCATGGAAAAGATACATACAGAAGAGGCAGTGTCTGTATTTGGGGTGGTATCTCTTTGGGTGGACACTCAGCCCTCCATGTTTTTCTATGTGGAACCCTGAATGTTCAGGCCTATACATGTGATATCCTTGATGCTTATGTGCATCCTTATGCTATAGCAATGGGTGATGATTTCCTGCTACAGGACGAAAATGCTATATCACGCAGGGTTCACATTATGGAGCTTCAGCAGCAAACAATTCAGCATACGAAGTGGTGAGCTCGATCACTGGACCTCAATCCAATCCAGCATGTTTGAGATGCTTAGGGAAACATATAACTGCTTTCAGTCCTCCTCTTCAGACCCTTGCCATGCTTGCAAATGCTTTGCAAGAGCAGTGACTCTCACTTCATACGGAACAGATAGACCACATAATTGACAGCATCAAACATTGCTGTATGTGCTGCAATGTTTCTAGGGAAGATCATACTCCATACCGAAGGTAATTTTCATACACCAAAATGACACATCTAAATTGTTCGTTTTATACATATGCTAGTTTCTGTTACACCATAAATGTTTGGTAATTTCATTTCATCTTTATACATTATTAAGTGTTGTATACTATGGGTCAGTTTCATTAAATTCTACATGTAACTTTTGGAATAACTGACATTTTTGTGATTTTTCTTTATTATTGATAAACCAGTGTATATATATTTTCCCTTTACAATGTAAGGTATGAGTCTGATGTATGTACAACAAAGATTAAGTTTATTTTAAAATAAATAGCATATGAACAGTATTGAGAACCCAATAAGTAATATCTTTCATTATTAAGTCACTGTGTTGTAATATATATATATATTATATATGTAAGATAAAAACATGTAAATCAAAATTATAATTTAAACTAATGCTAACCCTTTAATTCTCCCTCTCTGTTCTAAAATTCGTAATAATCTCTCTCGATTTCGTCCTTTCTAGATCATTCCATCTTGCATAGCCTGTGCAATGCTGATGATGTAACTCTCATAACTGAAATCTTTCCAACATAACTCAAAACCAACCTTTCTCTTAACAGACTGCCAGATTGGATTAATACGCAGTTAGTTTGCAGCTCTGTTGCCACTTGGACGCTTTTTCATTTTTCTTGTGCTTTGTCATACTGCTAACTACGCCGTTATTAAAAATGTGTTACTGTATAGAAAATTGTGGCCTGTGTGTTGCACCCATGATCATGTGTGATGAAAAATATGTTTTCAATGATTAGTTCATGTCCAGCAATAAAGGTTATGTGCAGTCGGCTACAAGTCTTTCCTTCGAGTGTCATCTTTCTAATTATGATGCAGCAGACTCTGCAAGTTATTGTCATATATGCATGTATATATGTAAAATATAAAATATAGCTTTCAAATAATAAATTAATAGCCCTTTAACTTTCGTTTCTTTCTAAAAATAACAGCAATAAATTTGTCTCCCTACAGTTTTGATGTGCACCAACTATATAATAATTATTTGGTCAAATTTTCAGGAATTCTATTTTTCAAATTATTTCTTTTTATTTGCTAATGCTTTAATACTTTCTCTCCAAAAAATTTCTCTCACCCAGTCCTTTTCTTCTTGAAAGGGGGATATGTAAAATATAAAAATCTAACTTTCAAACAATTAATTAATAGCCCTTTAACTTCCATTTCATTCTAAAAATGACAAAATAAATTTGTCTCCCTGCAGTTCTGATGCTCACTTACCGATGAAATCTGAACCCAAAATCTTGTTCATTAAAGTGTCATGTCATCTGAACTGGAATTTGGTATAAAAAGGTCAGTTGCATCACAACTCCCTCCCTTCTTCCTCTGAAGTACTGCGACTCTCTCTCTGCTCGCTTCTATGAAAGTAGTATCAAAATTATTCTGAAAATAGTAACGATTGGAGTGCCAAGTGAATTCTGGCCTCCAGTGTGAATTTAAATAAATATGGGATTTAATCTGGCTCGACTGCTTCTTATTCAAAATGGATGGACATTGTAAGCATCAAATATCTTCGCAATCAGCATTTCTATGCATCTAATACATCTTACATCAGTCCTTCCAAATTTGTGCTTTTATTACATTCTTTGGCCAGTTTTAATTATGAAGAAATCTGCACTGGTTTTTTATTCGATGTTCACAGTGAATCACGGTCCTGTTTCACCGAAAATTTTAATGCAAGTTTGTGCTTCATTGATAATCAAATCATTCGTGCCATGTGACCGAACTGCAGTTTTATTACATATATATGTATATTTTTTTAAGTGTGTTATAAAGTATAAAATATAAAATTTTTGTGACTATATGATACTTTTATAAATTATTTTTATTTGTATCTTTATTATGATTTAAAACTAATTGCTAGTTAATGCTCATTTTTAATAAATATTATCCACAATTCAATAAAAAGCTCTTATCTATTATATATAGATATATATATATATATATTAAATGTGTGTTCATAACACAGCTAAAACATTTTTAGCTCAGTGTTCTCTATTTAGCACAGTTTTATTGAAGAAGCTTCAGTCTAAACATGTATGAAATCTTATTTAGCAAGTAAAAGAGTTTTACTTATTTTAAAAATTAAATTAACAGTCTTCACAGACAATTAAAATTAAGGTGTTGAAAAAACAACTTTCATAGACTCTTCATCAGTCATAAATATATTCAGGGTTACCTATTAAACAGTGGTTCCAGGAGTATACCCCAAAACAGAAGGTAGCACAGCCGAAAGACAAAACTGAGTAACTGATACTTGCTGAGGTACTATGGACGGAGATACAAGGTATAGGATGAATCCTCTCTCAGCAATATATAGCCTGATGCACATTCATTTTGCACATCCCAGTTTTATTATGCAAATGGAGACAGTAATTTATAATTTTTGCAGGGTTGGTGAAATAATGGATCTGAAAGACACAGTGACCATATAATTTATGGATCACCATGAAAATAAATGGCCACTGTGTCTTCTAAATTGATTCATTATTTATTACTAGTAAATTATTAAATGATTAAAATTTGTAACAGTGGTAGAGGCATAAAAACCCATTGTGATTATTTGACACATAATAAAAGAGACTTACTTGTAGTAATAAATTACATAAATATAATTAAATTTCAAATTTTGTCATTTAATTGAAATGGTATCGGCCAACAAAAGGTTTTATGCAAAATTTATAGCTTTATAGCTTATTGTTAGGTATTTGAGTTAACACAATAATGATTATTGGAGAAGTTAAAAGCAGCAAGAATCGGCATATTCAGAAAGCATCTCCTATTAACAAATTATTCCCACATTCATTTTCAGAGGCATTTCACATTCATAAAAATCTTTACAGTTCTAGTTAACAATCCCAATTTCAATCCTTCATTAACCCTTAGCTTTTCAGGAAATTATTTCTTAGTTGTTTTCATTTTTCACCAATAGATGATGCCTGTAACTTCCTTCTCCTTCATATCACTTCTCTTTTTGCTTCTCTTTTTGCAGTTCTGCAGCTGAAGAGAAAGATTCTGTATTTAAACCTTCAAAACAAGTCCTCCAAATTTATGAATATTTGCTGATTCTTGTAGTTGTAACTCCTCGAAAAATTATTGTTAGGTATTATTTTAAATATCAATAATACCTTTGAATTAAATTATTTTTAATAAGGTGATACTATATTACTACTACTACTATTATTATTATATTATAGTGTAACAGTATTATAAGACTGTGGGTTTCTTTATGAAAGAGTGTTATTTAATCTATTAGTATTAAAAAAATAATAATTGTTTGTCTGCAAACTTTAAATAAAATCAACAAGAAAAGAAACCCACAATTAAAATTATAGAAAAACTGCCATTATTGAGTAAACGTTATGGAATAATTTAAATATTTGACACAAGATTTGTATTTTGCGGTTGTGAATTCGTTGGTGCGTTTATATAATAGATAATTAGAGGTAAAAGTTTTTGGATATTTTATTTATTTTATACGTCAAAATGTTCATATTTGAAAGGGTATATACTTTTTTCGCGATCAGGTAATTTCATATATGTGCTTTTACGGTTTAAAGATCACTTGTTTGTATTTTCGTGAAATTTTTCTAATTTATGAGAAAAAGCAGGTACATGGAAATAGTGAAGAGTGTTGCAATGCCATTTTTGTAAATTCTGGGTTTTTTTAGTAAAATAAGTCAACGTGTACATGGTTTATGTGTATGTGTTATAAAAAACACGCAAGGAGTTTGCTATTGTGCACTTTTTCCAATTTTGCAGTGAATATTTGTCATGATTAAGCAGTTTTGTTAGATAAACTATCCAGCATAAGTGTAATTCGGCTAGTAGATTGTTGGAAAAAGTGTGAGTAAATAAAAAGAAAAGAAACATGTCTTTACTTTGTGAAGACAAAATGGCGGCGGAAAAAAAAAAAAAAATAGAAGGTTGCTGTAGCAGAGTTGGTCGCCAAATTTTCGCCAAAAAATCGCCAAGTTACCATAATCCAAAGATCACCCGATTTTTTTTATTTAATAAATAGTTAGTATTCAATCCATTTCATTTTTATGCTTTGTAAAAAGGCTTTTGTTGATTTCTCTTGTTTTGGTATGCTATCTAATTAGTTTTACCACACACTTTGTTTAGAATGCTTTGAGTGCAAATTTTCTGCAGGTAATTGTTTCACTTATTACTGTTTTGTTGGCCATATTCAGCATATTCATTAATTCACAGTATTTGTGTGTGTGTTAGGATTATATGTAGACAGCAGGTTCTAATTTTAATCATTTTTTTTTTTTTTTTTTTCCAAAATGCTAGAGTAAAAAAGGGTAACAGTAATTTATATCCTTGTTCATAAAAATGAAACAAGGCATATCAAGAATCATTTGAGATTGTATCAAACGAAAGCACAGATGTTATGAGTGAGTTGTGATAACATTCTTTCCCATAATTGCTACTTTGTGATGGTTTCATAACTGACAGGATAATATGTAAGTGCCATTTCTTTTACTGCAATGGTACCAAAGTTATGGCGGCTTCCTCAGAGATCATGTTCTTTAAAGAGGAAAAGTCAGGATGAAAATTTTTTTTCATTGTTTAACTCAGTTTGTTTTCCTGGATGTTCAGAATAGTGTTATATCTGAAAGTAATTACTTAACTGAATCGTAGGTAAAAATAGAGGTTTTAACATTAAGAAAACTAGATGGTTGAATAAGAAATTTTAGACTAATTAATAACTTTCTGAAAAATACGTGTAGTGCACTATGTAGACATTTAAATGGAAGAAATATTCATACTAGTGAAATTCTAAAAAACGTCCCATATCAAAAATAAATAAATACTTTCATTAATTTAATTAATGTAAGCGTAGCTTCAGACATCATTTCTTAGGTATGCAAAAGATTTTGGAATAGCAAATGGCAGATGCTTAGTAAATAAAATAATAGTGGTTGAAATGGTTATGTGAATATCTTATAAATATGCTATTTTTAAAATGAGTGTAAAAAATTTTTAAATCTGTATTATTAAATATTTAAGAATCTTTCTGTATGTACATATATTTGTTGCATTATTTTGTGTTTTGGGAAAACGTGAAAACTTTGATTAAGTAACTCAATTTAAAAGCTGTATGTTATTACTTAGCAAAGTGTAAGATACAGAGGCTGTTCACATGCTTTTTAGGAGATTTTGGTTTGTTGTAAAAGAAAAAAAAAATCTTCTGCTTAGAAATTTTTTTAACTGCTATGTTTTTGATAGTATAAATTATCATCTGCTACTTGACAGCTTTGTTTTCATGCAAAATGTTGCTTTTAAAGAAGTAATCGATGGAAGGCTATATTTGTGTACTTTCCAAAAAAAATTATTCTTATCTAGTTATTAAAAAATGTTGTGAAAGCCATGGTTTTTCAATATCTAAAGCTATGATAGGTAATATTGTTAACAGCAAAAAATGACAAAATTTACCTTCAAGTAGAAACATTGTTCCAAATACGTATCCAAGGGGGAAAATGGAATGTGTGGAATGTTTCAAAAGTAAGATATTTTATGGTAAAAGAAAATCTGCCAAGTCAAAGAACAGTTGCAAAATTATTAAAATGATCAGTATCAACTGTAAACAAAGTGATTAATGCTGATTTTAATCTTAAAAAGACAAAAACATAACGTGCACCATCTTTCTCCACCACATATCTGAGAACGTGCTGCAGAATTCTTTATGAGAACCATATATCTAGACAAAAAACGGAAAAATATTGCCACAATATATGAATCTTGGGTGTACTTAAATGACTGCAGTAAAAAGAGATCCATTTATTGTCATGAAAGAGTAGAAATTGTAGATTATATATATTTCAAGGAATCTAAAGAAGTTTTTCTAAGGGATTTATGGTTCTTGCTGGTTTTTCATGTAATGGCAAATTAAAAGTAAAGAGAGTGGAGAAAAATATTAAGATCAACTCCACGTATTACCAAAAACATTTTTCACCCAATTTTCAAATATGAAATACAGTCAAAAGTCATTAATTCGGACACCCATAATCTGGACCTCAAAGCTACAAACTTTCTGCGCATGCGCATAGGCGTTTACACGTGTGCGTAAGACCTTTACGGCTGCGAATATGCGTGTGCGGATGCGCATAATACGCTTACAGATGCGCATTTAATGTATAACGAATAGTATAAGCTAAGCTAAAATTATCCAATTTAGGTAATGTTGCAGATTGCGTTGTTCCTTAATCTTTGAATTGGATCCGGCTTATTATTTTTTGCAGACTGTCAGAGCAATTTTATAAAAGTAAGCTTGAACTTTTGATTATGTCAAATAGAATTTTCGATATATATTTACTAATATGTAAAGGATCTACAAAGCGAAATTCGAAGTCCATTAAACAGAAAGTAGAATTGCTGCAAAAAATGGATAAAGGATTTTGATTATCTAATCATTCCAAAATATGTTTATCAATTTCACGCTGCTTTGTGGAGGGAAGGATACGACGCGGTGCGCAATGAATTGGAAGTTGATCTGTCAGCACTATCCTTATCTTCAGGGCAGATGTTTTTATTTTATTTGGCTCATAATTCCTTACTAAATGTAGTATTTCATCTCGATGTACTTCGTCTTTGATATGATTTAAATCAAGTTCCTCGTCATTATAATTTGCTTCCGATAGTGAAGAAAGTGACACAGAGGTTATTGAAAATAAAAAAATTTCGATTGACAAATTAGTCTGCATTTTCGACACAGCAATTATAGGACTTGAACAACGGAACTTTGTAACTGAACAAGAAATTATGTCTGTTTATAGAATTAAAGAGAAAGTATTATCACATAAAAATGAAGCAACTTAAACAACTTACATTGAAAGAAATGTTTTAATAAAGTAAACAAATAAATATTAAGCTTTTTTTTTGTAAATTTTGATACCCTTTAGATCATAATTGTTCTTTATTTCATAAATTACGGTTTCATATTTTTAATTTTATAATTTCTGCGTGCCATCTTACCAGATTTAAACTGATGATCTATAATCCGGAAAAATTGATAATCCGGAATCGCTGAAGTCCCGACAAGTCCGGATTAACGACTTTTGACTGTATCTTCTCTTTACACACAGTATGAGCAGTCAGAACTGCATTAAGACAAAGCAAGCAGTGGCATGTCAAAATCTGTTAATTCACTGGAAAAAGTGGAAGAGGAAGTGGATATCAATGCCGTACCCTTCACTCATATCCCTTCAAAATCTCCTTATACCATAGATTTTTGGGCTTTTAGATTTTTTAAAAAGCAAATTTTTCGTATGTCGATAAACCTCAGACTTTGGAAAGCTGTTCGAGAGCAATGGAATAAAATACCTCTTCTGATACTACAAAAGGCTTTATTTTATGGTGTACAAAAATAGTGAAGAATAAGGTTTATCAAACAGAATGTTTAAAACATAAAAATTTTAGGCAAAATATTTCTATAATTACAATGAAAATTGTTTAAAAAAATGTGAGAACAATCTCTGTAGTTATGTTTCAATTTTAATCAGAAAGCTTAGTGATCTAAAAGAAATGTGTTGCATCTCAGCAAAACACAAGATATTTGTCTAAAACATTTAGTGATTTCAATGTGCTGTCATTATCTGAAAAAAAAATATCTTCATGTTTCACATGCCAGCACAGCGCATTCTACAAAATGTGAGATATTTCAATTTTTAAAATTTATTCTGTCTGTAATTGATAAACAAACTCATTTAAAAGCAATAAATGCCGTTCTTCATCACTGTTATTACTAATTTTAACTAATCATTAAAATCATTTTATATTTTTTCTTTTTTATAAAAAATATTTCAGGTTCAGTAATGTGGCATACCTATTTAAGGTTAATTATAATAATAATTACCTCTCATTTTATATATATGGTATGTAAAGTTTCTGAAACAGAGAAATTCTTTAGTGAAATACATTCATGAAAATTTTATGTACTGTTGATCTATGCCGTTACTTTATAATATAAATTAATATGTTCTTCATATTATTTTATTTTATTTCAGGTGTAGGAAAGAGCAGTCTATTGCTTCGTTTTGCAGATAACACTTTCACTGGTAAATATTTTGGTTTCTTTATCAGTTGTGGAATCTTTGTTAACTTTTTCACAAAATTAAATTTTAAAAGAGGTGATATTTCCATGATATTGCTTCCAAGGGATTGTGGTAATGCAATTGTTGACACATTATCATTTTGCAATTTATGAATGTTTAAGAAACTGGAGTTTTAATTTAAGTAATATAATACACTCTGCACACACAGAATTAAAAAAAAAAAAAAAAAAAAAAAAAAAAAGGAAAAAGGGAGACATTTATCTAACTTTCATTCTTCTGGACTGATTAACAAAATTTAGTTTGTGTTTTTCATGTCTCAAAAGTATGACTTAAGATATATATTATATTTATATATAGCATTGTTCTAACATCGATGTAAAGTGGCTGGGTACTGGTAGTTCGGTCCAAGGTTCGAATCCGCGAGTGGACTGGCAGCGTAGGCATGTTCGTGGGTTTCCCCATGTGTAATGTGTATACGAGCCAGTTTCCCTTAGAAAGTCCTCCACGAAGGCATCCCTTCCCTTAGGCAGATAGCCCTAGTGTGCTTTTCCATAATTAAATAAACCAACTAATATGGATGTTTCGACATGAAATTGGACTTTTTTTGAAATGACATGCCGATAATTTTCCGTATTTTGATTCTGCAACTCAAATTATGCCCAAATATTTAATTTTATACAATTTGGTGAGAAATTAAAAATTTTATCTTGGCACACTTTTTTCAATTTGTGCCAAGAATAATTAATTTGGCGAAATTCTTAATTTAAGGTAACTATTTCCCTTTCATTGTGCACGAGCAGAAAGAAAGGTGCATCGTTCATATTTTCAAATAATTTTAGCAAAGTGTATGTACCACATTTGGCATTATTATCATTTATAACAAATATTCTGAATTTCGAAACACCCCTATATATAAATTCACGTATGAAAATTGTGAATACAAATCTTTTAATTTTTTGCAGGTATGCCTAGAAATATGTCTATTTGAAAGTGATGGTAAATATTTTATAGGTTATAATAATTAAAAAAAAAAAAAAAAATTCATCAAATTTTTAAAGAATATAAATTTTAAAAATAAATCGGAAAATATTTTCCAGAAGCAATCAAGTAGGTTTAATAAAAAAAGAGATATTATTAAATATGTACCAAATTCAATTAATATTGAGGAGCTAAAATTTTGAGAGTTAATTTTTTATAAAAAAACTCTTGCGATTTTTTACGAACTTGGTAAAAAAAAAAAAAAACTTGGTTTAATAACCAAGTTTAAAACTGGTTAAATTAAGCTTGGTTTAGTAAAAAAAAAAAAAAAAAAAAAAAAAAAAAAAAAAAAAAAGATATTAGATAATTAATATGAGGATAAACAAATTAAATTAACATTGAGGAGCTAAAATTTCAGAGTTAATTTTTTAAAAACAAATCATGCGATTTTTACAAAACTTGGCATAGTTTGACTCGTAGAATCGAAATATTGAAAAAATATGTTTGTCATTTGAGAAAAGGTCTGATTTTATGTCGGAATACCTATGTTAGAATAATCCTGTGTATAAATCTAACATACTATGTAAGTCAATCGTACTTTCGAAACATAAAAAACATAGTCAGACGACAAAACCATTAAATTTCATCAGTCAGTTCAGTAGAGTGGGACATACAGAATTCCCCCCCCCACACCGTGTACACATTTATATTACTGGTTAATAAAATTAACCTCTATGAAGGAAGAATCCAGCACATCAGAACTTTTTGCGTACTATTCCGTTTTGAGGACCGTCAAAAAATTGCAGTGAAACTGGATGCGCAGAAGTGCCAAATCTAGCAATTGCGCCCATTTAACAGCATGCCAAATCTAGCATACCCGCTGATTTCAAATTGCGTAAGTTTATATAGTTCTATGTTTCTGAAGACGTCACTGAAATACTAGTTTAATTTTTAAATCCTTTTTTTGATATCCTATGGATTTCATAATTTGGGAATTGCTCATGACAAAATGTCTGCAATAGAATTTTGGGTAAAGTGCAGAATCACCCACTACTTGACGTGTTTTAAGAATTGCACAAACTTGGTATCCGTGTACATATCGATCTATTTTCACTTTAAAAAAAAATTTCCCAAAATTGCACAAAAATGGCACTGTGTACACCCTTGACTTTATCTATGTACACATCAACCTATTTTCACTTAAAAGGTAAAAGAAAAATGCAATTGTTTTTACCCTTGTAAAAAGCGGCATACAAATAAGTGGGTGATTCTGCACTTTACCGAGAATTTTTTCAAAGAAAAGGCATCATTCATTATAGAAAATTATGTTTGAACAACCAACGAGATGAAATTATGCTTCAGCGAAAACTCGGTAGTGAAATAGCGATGCAGGCATCCATTCTGTTATGTTTAGCAATTTTTATATAAATTATGATAATGATCTGAAATAGATATTTACTCTTATGCTTTCATTCGGTCATCTTTAGCCTTTTTTATATAAATTATAATAGAGTATTACAGTCAAAAGTCGTTAATTCGGACACCCATAATCCGGAATGATCTATAATCCGGACCTCAAACTAATTGGCACATGCGCACAGCCGTTTTACGCGTGCGCGTAAGACCTTGACTACTGCGCATATGTGTGTGCGCAAGTGCAGAATACGTTTTCGCCTGCGCGTTTAATGTATAACGGACGGTGTAAGCTAAAATTATCTAATTATCTATTTCAGTTAATGTTAATGATTGCATTGTTCCTTAATCTTTGAATTGGATCCCGCTTATTATTTTTTGCAGACTGTAAGAGCAATTTTATAAAAGTAAACTTGAACTTTCGATTATGTCAAAAAGAATTTCTGATGCTGGAACTTCCAAAGGATCTACAAAACGAAAGTATGGTTCGATGTCCAACAAACAAAAAGTGGAATTGCTGAAAAAAATGGATAAAGACATGAAGAATGTGACAGAGAGGTTAGTGAAAACGAAAAAATTTCGATTGACAAGTTAGTCGGTATTCTCGGCACAGCAATTAACGGTGACTTGAACAACAGGGGAACTTTGTAACTGAACAAGAATTATGTCTGTTTATAGATTAAAGAGAAAGTATTATCACATAAAACGAAGCAACTTAAACAACTACATTGAAAGAAATGTTTTAATAAAAACAAATAAATATTAAGCTTTTTTTTTTTTTTTTTTTTTTGTAAATTTTGATACCCTTTAGATCATAATTGGTTCTTTATTTCATAAATTGCGGTTTCATATTTTTAATTTTAGAATTTCTGCATGCCATCTTACGAGATTTAAACTGATGATCTATAATCTGGAAAAATCGATAATCCGGAATCGCCGAAGTCCCGACGAGTCCGGATTAACTTTTGACTGTATATGAAATTAACCTTTCATCTAAATTAAAACATCAATCTTAGATAGTAATTTACTATTATACTTACTTTCTTGTATTAGGGTTGCTGCAATTATTTTTAGCAGCTCTGGCATTAACAATAGTTTGGTGATTTTTTACGGCCCTCAATACTTTATGAAACTGATCAAAGTTTGCAACATCTAAACATTATCCAATGTTCTTGAAATTTGGTATATGTATCTTTTACATCACTGAGATTTCGGGAGTAAGCGAAGTCTGCAAAAATTTTGCATTTCATTTTCTGCGCCTTACAAAATATCCTAATGTGCATGTGCAATAAACAAGTAATAATTTTGTTCTGTGAAATTTAACAAGATTAATATGTATCCTTATATGTGTATTTCGTTTTAGGTAATTATATTACAACAATAGGAGTCGACTTCAAAATTAGGACTGTCGAAGTAGATGGTGAAAGAGTGAAACTGCAGATATGGGATACTGCTGGTCAAGAAAGATTTAGGACAATTACCTCAACGTATGATTAACAAATCATGCTTTTTAATATTTGAAAAAAAGAAAAACTTTAAATGCAAAATAAATAATTAAAGTAATGTATCACTGCTGTGTAAAAGCAAATTTATACCGTGAAACTTGTTGCATTGACATAGCTGCCAGCACTCCTTGTTCTTCATCGCACTTCCCGGTCTTCTGGTAAATCACAGAATTGACCAATTCTTTTAGGCTATACTAAGGAAAATGCTTTCCAACAATAAATTGTTTAGTTCAGGGGCGAGTAACCTTTTTAATCAATGGGCCAATTTAAATTAAAAAATTTTTTCGCAGGCCGCACATAAAGTAACACTTATTAATGATTTACAAAACATTATTAATAATAAACATTAGAATAAAATATAAAATTTTAAAAAAAGTAAAGATTTCATATAAAAATTTTAATGCAAAATAAACAAGAAAAGAATAGAAAAGCGAATTTACTTTATTAATTTTTAATGAGAAATTTGACACTGTTTTTTCGATACAAGCTGATCAATATCAGCTGTAATTGATGAGGTAGCTACACGTACGCAGTTTTCTAATCATGCATCACTCAGTTTTGGTCAGTGGTCATTGTTGATTAATTTCATGGTTGAAAATAATTGTTCGCAAACATACGCATTTCCGAAGAGACATTATTTGCTTTGCATTTTTTGTCAGAAGTGGAAATTTCTCAGGGCTCACATTAGATTTATAAAAATTTTTTATGTTTATTGAGCAAAATATATTTTTAAAATCGGTATTATTCTATATGTCAATCACTTCCATTTGAAAGTCTTCGGGAGCTGTATCCACATCAATATTAAATGGCGAGGAAAATATTTTCATGGAAACCGCTGTCTTCTCAGCTTTGAACATATGGAATTGTAATTGAAATTCGTTGATTAAAATGTCTATATATTGTGCGTATTTTTGAGAAGTAGTAACATTTTTTTTTTCTAAATGTGGCAAATGAGACACATTATTCTGAAAAGATGCTCTTTCCTGAGGTGAAAGATGCTGAATTTTATCATACAAATTATGAATAAACTGTCCTTTGCCTTGAAGTTCCATATTAAGATCATTGAGATGCTGAGTCATGTCGATAAGAAACCCAAAATCGCACATCCTTTCTTTATTACCAAAATGAGGAAAGGGATATCCCTTCATATCCAAGAACAATTGTATTTCGCTTTATAAGTTGTATACTCTTTTTAGCATTGCACCTCTACTAAGCCAGCGTACTTCGGTATTAAAAACCACGTCGCCATATTCAGTTTCTAAGTCTTTTAAAGTCGTGAATTTAAAGAATTCCCGGTGATTTATTGTGCGCGACTTTATAAACTTGATTAGTTTAATTATTGGTGCTGTGACATTTTGCAAACTCAATCTTTTCTCACACAAATTTTCCTGGCGAATTATGCAGTGGTTAACAAATATTTCCCTTCCTGTGACCTTAATATCTTGAAATAGCTTTCCTGATACTCCTATTTCTAATGTTTGACATTGCTCATTCACCATCTGTCGATATACCAATAATCTTTTCTAATGAAATTGAAAATTTTTCCAACAAAGACTTTAGTTCATTGTACAGGTCTTTGCCAGTTGTGGTCCCTTGCATTGGAATCAGTGAACACAATTCTTCGATAATATTAAATTTGGTGTCAATACCAAGTAAAAATATAGCCAGTTGTGTTGTATTGCTAATATCGCAACTCTCATCAAGTTCCAAAGAACAGTATTCGAATTTTGCAATGCATTCACGAAGCGTTGTTGCTATGTTTTCGGACAAGTCTTCAGTTCTCCTTGCAATGGTGAATCTTGATAAACTAATGTTTGAAATGATATTTATTTTATCTGGAAATTCTATTTCTGCAACAGCAGTCATACATTCTTTTATCATCTCTCCATCCGCAAAGAGTTTCATTTTTTTTTGCCAGTAGTTGACTGACAACAAAACTAGCCTTTACTGCCGTATTTGATAAAATAGTTTGATTTTTAAAAATAGCCTGTTGTTTTTCCAAGTTTTTCTCCATTTGATTAAGCTTATCTATCCGGAGTTGTCCTGTTAAGTTTTTATATTGTTGTTTATGTTTTGTATCGTAATGCCTTTTTATGTATATTCTTTTAATGTCGACACAGTCTCTGAGCATAATATGCATACAGCTTTATCTTTGACGAAAGTGAAAAATATCAATTCCACTTTTTTCTTCGAAATGCCTGTGCTCATCTGCAACCTTCATTTTTTTCTTTACTTTCCAACATGCTATTATAGATTAATTTGAAAATAAAAAAAAAATTGTAGGAAAGGATTTTGAATAAAAAAACTCTAATTACCTTTGGCTACCGCTGCATTGTTTTTGTTTTTGCAATGTTCAAAAAGCAAAAATCCTTCGCATTACAACATCTTTATTTCTTCTCTCTGCACGGCTTTTACTTTTTAAAATGTACTACTATTTTACATATGATGGGGAATTCCTGGCTTAGAAGCAAAGTAATAGTAGCTATTAGCATTTTCGTTTTCCATCAATAGGTGTCACTACCTGAAAATGGCTTGGCAACACGAATGCGGCTATATAGCCTACACCTTTTTGACAATAATATTGCACTCACACCTTTCAAGAAACACATGAATTGCTAAAATTGCTAGTTAGCAGCTTACCAGTCTGATTGACTGTGTGACAGAAGCAAACACAAACAAGCACAGACGCGGCACTTTCGTATTGCATGTTTGAACAAGTCACCGACAAGTGAGTAACTCGTCACAAAAAATTGTTTCGTTTAGTGTGTACTACTGTTTTATTATAATTATTTTTATAACAATATATTGATGGGAGAAAGTCGATAAAATAAATTCAATTTTAGAAATACGTGGCGGGCGCATAAAAGTTTTAACAGCTGTGTGTGTACACTGGTAGTAATGAATCTAATGTGCAAATTCCTTCCATTGGTTTTCACTATAGTTTTTCGTATTAAATTTTTATTATTATTTTTATTATTATTTTTCTATCTGAATCATATAGTCATTAGGCATAAAAAATATTTATGCAAATTAACAATATTCTATTTAATTTTTTTTTACATTATTATGTAGTAATTATTGAGTTTATTTACACAATATTGTGTGCATTAATTATTAGTTTGATTTTCATCATCTTTTAAAGTACTTTGATAAATAAAAGCATTCCTTCTGCATTTGAAATTTTTTCAATAAATAAATATAAGAAAAATGTAAAGTAAAATTAGCCAGACAACAAGAAATTTACAATATCTAATTAACTATTGATATGTTTTATATCAGAATCATAATATTAGTAGTTTGATAACTTGAATTGGGCATCATAAAGTGAATTTTGTTCAAAATTTTGGTGGTGACGTGTACTGCATAAACCTTCCAGAAAATTATGGTTTTCCATATTTTGAATTTGGTAACTATGATATGAATATTTAGAAATTTTTGTGATTCTCATTTAAGAATGTCTGGAATGTTTAATTTATTTATATAGGTATTATAGAGGGACTCATGGTGTGATAGTGGTTTATGATGTAACGAATGGTGAATCTTTTGGAAATGTAAAAAGGTGGCTACATGAAATAGATCAAAATTGTGAAGTGGTGAATAGAATATTAGGTATCGTAAAATATATTTTTCTGAGAAATATTTCAGGATGATTTTTTGTGGTATAGAACATGAAAGTATTTTTTTTTTTTCTAATTATTAGTTGGCAATAAAAATGATGATCCAGATAGAAAAATTGTTTTAACAGAAGATGCTCAACGATTCGCCGACCAAATGGGTATACAGCTATTTGAAACTAGTGCTAAAGAAAATATCAATGTTGAAGAAGTAAGTTAAGCACGTATGTATTATAAAATGTAGACAGTTAAGATATTGCTTGCTGTTTATACATGCAGTTTTGGCTAAATTAATTGCCATTAATCATTTTCTTTTATTTATAAATCAACTGTAACTGTTTTGTATGTGAATTAAATTTATAACTGTAGGATTCTTATTTATTGTTTTAGCAATAAATGCCTAATATACACTTTCAAAGAGGAACATATGAGTTTATATTACAAACTTTTATTATTAAATAAAAATATTATTAACTGTATATGCAAGTTAAGATTTTAAAATTGTTCATGAACTTTTGTATATGCATATTATGTTAAGTCTTATCTAGGTACTTTCTTATTATTAAGATACCTATTTTATAAACACCACCAGGATTATCAATAAATCACTAATGCAAACAATCTTCAAATGGTCGGCAGTCCTAGTAAGGCCAATTGACAAATAAGGTTATGCTTTTCACTGATTGAGTTTGGTGATGTCATTTCATGTAGAGAAGTAGGGGAAATGATGACGCAGCTTTTCGAACAGGCTATTGATGACAAAAGATTACTTGCCAAGAAGAACAAACTATATAGTAGAGTAAGTTGGAGTCCTAAAGGCGATCATTTATGGTTTGCTTATGATGGAAACGCCGCGGCGCACAATGAATTTAAAGTTGATCTGTCAGCACTATCCTTATCTTCAGAGCAGATGTTTTAATTTTATTTGGCTTATAATTCCTTACTAAATGTAGTATTTCTCAGGTGTTCCATCTTGAAGATTTAAATCAAATTCCTCTCATTATAATTCGCTTCCGATAGGGAAGAATGTGACACAAGGTTATTGAAAAAACGAAAAAATTTCGATTGACAAATTGACAATTAGTTGTATTCTCGACACGCAGCAATTAAGGCTTGAATAGCAGACTTTGTAACTGAACAAGAAATTATGGTCTGTTTATAGAATTAAAGAGAAAGATTATCACATAAAAACGAAGCAACTTAAACAACTTACATTGAAAGAAATGTTTAATAAGAAAAAATAATATAATTTTTTTTTTTTTTTTTTTTTTTTTTTTTTTTTTTTTTTTTTTTGTAAATTTTTGTACCCTTAGATATAATTGTTCTTTCTTTCATACTATTACGGTTCAATTTTAATTTATTTTCTGCAGGCCATCTTACCAGATTTAAACTGATGATCTATAATCCGCAAAAATCGCTAATCCGGAGTCGCCGAAGTCCTGACAAGTCCGGATTAATGACTTTTGACTGTAATTTGTTTACTGTTGGGCAGATGAACTGACATTAAGTTGTAGGAGAAGCAACCAGGCTTTATGCAGGGGCGTAGCGAGAGTTTCCAGCGCTCGGAGACAACAGAAGAATTTGCACCCCTTTCTGTTTGCCAAGAATGGAAAACATTTCATTAAAAAATTTCGTAGCATCAATTTGGCGCCCCCTGGATGCTGCACCCAGGAACAGATGTCCCCCCTTGCTCCACCCTAGCTACGCCACTGGCTTTATGAAAATACAACTATTAATTGAAACAGTTTTATGGGAAGCATTTGTTTTTCCTGTATCTAATCTAATAACTAAATAACCAAGTAAGTTGCCCTGAGAAAATTTGTAGACATAAATGAAAATCTGTTTGTACAGGGAAAAATCAAAGCCGTCAGGATTCTTCCATGATACTGGATATTTGGCAGGTTATGCTAAAAAAACTGGTGAATCTTTCCTCGCTCAGGTTCTGAATACAAATATTATTGTACATGGTGAAAATTGTTGATTGCTTTAAAAAAAAAAGTGATTGACAAGTTATTTGGACTGTTGGTGAGCATATAGAGCAGAGTAACTGGAAGGAACTGGTTAGAGAAATTTTACTGTGAACAACAGTAAATGTAATTTCATTTCTTCCAACAACAGCTGCCTACACCCAGAATTTTGAAAGAGTATAGAATTTTGTGAGTAGCAGAATAAAAAAAAAAAAAAAAAAAAAAAAAAAAAAAAAAAAAAAAAAAATGAAGTCTGGTTCACCATTATCATATGTTGTACCATACAGAGTTTAAGTGATGAATGATCTTGAGTTAAGAAAATGCTCCTGATGTCTTATTGAAAGCAGTCATGGAAACATGGCAGGCATAAAGTATATTTGAGAAATAGACATAAAATTAGCAATAATCCTATAATGTTCACTTTTTTCAAACATGAAGGTATTAATAAACTTCCATTACATAGCTTTACATTTCACATTTATTAGACATCTGGAAACTGTTAGGCATTTACAAAATGAAGGCTGTGGTAATAAAGATGTACCCCGATTTAATTTCAATTTATAAATATTTAATGTTTTTAACAAGTTAAAGGTATGTGGCAGGTTTTTTTTTATCAATCACATTTGTTTGCTTTTTATTTTCATGTTTCATTATGATGAATCTTGCATATTTGAAAACTTTCTTGTCTATTATAAAGTGTCCCACGTCTCTGTCATTTATGAAGTTTAAATATTCTTGATCTATTATTAAAATTAACATCTCATGAATTTTTTCCTTTCTCCCATAATATTACAGTGTTTCTTATTACATTAATAGTTTTTGCAGTACTCAAAATTTTTTCACTGATATGTTATGTGTCCAGAAAGTTAGAATACTTTGTAGACATTATTTCTGTAGAAAGTAAGAATACTTTGTACCCGAGACATCTCTACTGCTGAGAGATGTCTCGGGTTGAGTGGCTTTATTACCACCTACTTTGATCCTGTTATTTTCTTATGTCTGATTAGCAGTTCTGTGCCTGTGCTATTTCGACAAGATTTGTTTGAAGTGTAAATGATAGTCTTAAGTTCCTTCATAAATGAGGGTGTGAGTATGAACTGAAAGAAATGTTACTGGATAGTGCTGTGGATTCTCAAGAAGTAGCATATAATCAATCATCTTCAACAACCAAAAAAAGTGGTACTGCTTTTGTTTAGGATGCCGTTTGCCAAATTTAATATTTGCAATGCTAAATTTGTACAATTCTCTGATGTTTTCTAAGTAAAAACAGATTCCTCTGTACACAAACAAGGAAGGAAAACACCATCACTCTCCCTATGTAATATGTTTTTGTGTAATTGCACAAATTTAGCAGTGCAGACAGCCTTAGCATTGCACTCATTAAATCTGTTTTCTATTTTTGTATTTATATTTAATTTTTCTTTTTAAATTTATTTTTGAATTAATATAATAATTATTCCTTTTACCAAGCTTTATGTATCACTAGGGTTGTTGCAATCCGTATAGTTAGATTTAATGCTAACATTTATGTTTGGGGTTAAGAGGTGCTCTGTTAACAGAAAAGTATCAGAAAGGCCTTTTTATCTGAAGTAATCTTTTTTAGAAAATCACATAAAATTTTCTTTCAAATCTTGATTTATAGACCGAAGAATATGGTGTAGAAGACTGTATACAGGCTGGGCTCCAAAATATTAATAGGAGATCACGTAATCAAAAAGGTACTCGGATTCCTCCTGGACTGCATTTTCTATGGATTCTATCTCTTTTCCGCATTATCTTTTCTTCTTTTTTTTGGTGGGGGGATGAAAATTAGGTTTTTCACCACACATTTGAAACTAAGCAAGATTCCCTTCAAAGGTGCTGTGTATCCCAAAGCAATATAAATTTATAACTTTTTTAACAGAAATTCAAGTTTGACCAACACAGTCATAAATTTGCTTTTTTGAGAGAGTTTTTTTTCCCCGCCATATATCTTTTGGAATAACTGTTAAAGCTGATACATAATGTGAAACTTCTCAATTAGATTATCCACCATATATTCCGAATATAGTACTTAGCAGTTTTTGGCTTCTCTTTTATCTGAAGGAGAATCTCGGCAACACTTTAAAAATGATGACTAATTGAAAAAAGTTGTGATATGTTTCAAATAGCGAGTAAGAGAGGTTCATGAAACAGAAATATAAAATCTGGTTTTTAGACCTTGTAAAGTAGCAAGGGTGCTTGTTTGAACAGCTACTGCATAAGCCTTTGCAACATTTGAAATGTACACATTACATGTTAGATAATTAACCACTTCTCACTCTCTGTCAGAAATAAGGTATATATGTAGAAAGAGAGAATTACAATTTCTCCTGCAATGTTGGCTTATTGCATACATGTAAGAATGAGCAGTAAGCTTATTTTACAAAAAGATACCTCTGTAATGTTGACCTTTTTGAAACATGCTGGTATTAATAAACTTACATTACATAGCTTTACATTTCACATTTATTAGACATCTGGAAACTGTTAGCTATAACTTAATATTTCACCTTTGTAGAGTATATTTTAAAATAAGAAATGGCATGGGAAGGATATTTTTTGGCATATTTTAAAACATGGATATTAGAGTAATATAACTTAGAAGCTGTTTTATATACTTTTAATAATAAGATTTTTAAAGTTTAATAATTTGTAGTAAAACTTTATGAAGGAAAACATTTAGCAAAGGCAACACAATCTATCCATAAAAAAAGTAGATGTTTACTTATGAATTCAATTGCAAAAAGAAACCAAAACCACTAGACTGTTCTTACAGTCATATGATGCTGTCTAGAAACAGAAAAAGTAAACTAAAATAAATAATATGACATAGTCAAAAACTAAAACTTTGGGCTGTTCATATGATGTATGGGGAAAACTGTTGAGTGGTTAAATTTGCTGGTTTTGACGACTAAGTGTAGTGGATATTTTAACTAGAAGGTACTGTAATATAAGACATATTTGAAAAATATTATTATCTAATCAAACTTTGTCAAAGTTTTATCCAATAAAAGTTTCCATTTGGTTGTTGGCCTTTGTATTACTTTCTAGATACTTTTTGTATATTGAAACTGGAACAATTAAAAATAATGCATTTGCTTCTAAATTCAAAGTGAAACAAATATTTGCTTACTACATTTAGCTTTTGTATTCAGTTTATTTGTGTAATCGTTATTTCTTTTTTATTGTTTCAAACTTTCAGATGTTTAATGCTATTACAAGAATGGTATTAAAAAGTAAGAAAGACCAAAAAGAGAGGCAACAACAGTCTCACGAAAACACAGTTAAATTACAAAAAGCCTCACAGAGAGGGAAGAAGAAGTGTTGCTAGTGTAAGTTATATTATTTTAAATAATTTATCAATGTTTAACATGTAATTAGAGACTACAAAATGTAGTATGATAAAAATTTGTCTCTATGTAGTCACTTCAAGTAGATTAAATTAATCAGGCTGTGATACTTGCTTTTGGTTATATTCCGTGATAGTTGTCTTTTGGTTAAGGATAAATGATTTGTATGCTTATGTGTACTGATATAGTTAAACTTTCATTAATAAACAGTGTCTCGATTAACAAACAGTTCCTTAATTCATTCCCTAAAAGAAAAGAGACCAGTGTGTTTCTTTTTAGCAGATGCTGCCTTATAATGTACAAAAGACTCGGTCTGCTAACAGAAGTTAGTGTTATTGACAATATTATGAAACTGACGATTAAAAAATCAGCTACTTCATAACATTATCTATCATATGAACTACATGCAGAAGTAGCTTTAAGTGTCAAATTGCACTATTATCAAATGTGGTAAGTCGTCTTTTAGATATTAGAGAAATATTAATTGTGCACCATAAGAGAAATATCAAGAAAAGGGGCAAAAAATATTAATCTGAATGTTTGCGGTTTCTAATCTAATATCTAACTTTCTTTACAAAAACTAAATGTTTTTTGATGATAAGAGTTACAGGAAACCAAACTGAAAGTATTATGACTATATTGTTGCATCATGTTTCTCCATTATTAGTTCTAAATTGCACTGTTTGATGACAGTTTTTATTAGTCCTAGGGGAGGGAATTCAAATACTGAACTTTCTTTTGCAAAATGAACAGTTTATTCCAGACTTTAAAATTTCTTATTTGTAAAAAGTGTGTTAATTCATTTATTTATACAGTACAAAGTACGAAACCCAGACCACCATTATCCAGAATGATCTAAAATCCGGACCTCAAAGCCACAAACTTTTTTTTTTTTCTTTTGGTACGCTTTACACATGCACATTTGATTTTTCCTTTCACATTAAAACGTGGAGATTTTCACTTAAAAATTCCAATTCTTAATTTCACTTAGGCGTTAAATGAAATACCTCGTTATGAAAAAAAAATCATGTAAGCATAAATTTGTGAGATTAATAATTTGGCTCCATAGCTGAGTGTTTGCTTGACATACATCTCAAACTGAAACATTCACCTATTTTATATCCAAATTGTACGTCTGTCATTCAGCCTATGGATATCGGAATAGCGTGTGCACTGAAATGCAAATATAAAGTAGCATTTTTAAAATCTATGTTAAATTTCTTGAACAATGGCAAGACTATTCAAGAATTTTGAATATTTTAGCATAAAATCTGCTGTGTGGAGCGCGCAAGATCGTGAGAACGCTAAACATGCTTGTATAATTGATGCCACCTCCATCTTTCAGGGGTGAAGATGAAGCGAAGGTTTTTGGATTCGCCAACTAAAGGTGAAATTTCAGTTAATGATTTTGTAAGGGAGTAATATGAAGATAATATACAATTTTTCATTGCAAGACAATCCCCAATCAATCATAACGGATGGCAAAATCCTGTAGTTATAGACAAAAAAATACGCAAACCGATAGTGAAGAAAGGTGACGAGAGGTTATTGAAATGAAAAATTTAATTGACAAGTTTGTCTGTATTCTGCATAGCAATTAAGGCTTGAACAGTGGAACTTTGTAACTGAACAAGAAATATATTCGTTATGAATTAAAGGGAAAGTATTAGCACACAAAAAAACAACTTACATTGACAAGAAAGAAAGTTAAAAAGTAACAAAGTAAAAAAAGTAAGTAAATTTTAGTAAAGAAATATTAAATAAGCTTTTTTTTTCATAAAGTTGATACCCTTTAGATATTGCTCTTTTCATAAGTACGATTTATATTTTAATTGATAATTTCTGCATGCCATTTTACCAGATTTAAAATTGATGATGTAGTATCCAGAAAAATCCCAAATCCAGAATCCAAGTTTTGATGAGACCGAATTTTGGACTGTGTACTGTATTTGATTTGATATTCGCTTTTCCCCCAAAGTTAGGGGGGGGAATTGAATTTTAATGCAAATCCTGTTTTACAAAAGTTTGAAATTGCAAATACATTTTTTTTGGAAGGGGGGTGGAATTGACTAGTGAAAAATTACATCGAGTGGCATTTTATGGCTATTTTGTTAAGAGAAAGATGTTAGACAATAAGTAAGCCACTCTTGTGTTCTTTAACAAGTATAAATTATTAAAATGTATTTTTATGAATACTGCACTAGTTTATAATTTTTTTTAATGAAAAGAATTAATATTGCCAAGGGTTAGCCGAAGGGCCTTTATTTATTTTGCATTTTTCATTGAAACTTTAAATGTCGGTTCACTTTTCAAACTGTTGCCACCAAATGTTAGAGTCCTGCATTATATTTGAAAAAATTAAATAATGAAAATCTGCATAAATGTATGTATATTTCTCGCATTGTAATAAAACAACGGTACCTAGAGTCATCGAATTTTGAATAACGTATCCTCCACCCGAATATGAGCATGTGGAAAGCCCAAATTTGAAATTTTTTTATTTCGATTTCCTATTTTTTAAAACTTTGACGAATTTTTGATTAACAAACTGAACAATTTCAAAGCGAGCAATGGCAACACTCTACGTGGGGGGGAGGGGGGGAGGACCTTTTTATCTCCAGTGCACGAGACTGTGTATTGGAAGTTCTAAAGATATTCTCATTTTAAAATTATTTTGCGATATTGCTGTTGAACTGAATTTTATGGTTTAAGTGCGAAAAACATGATGTTTAATAAATAAAGGTAACAAACAAAACGTTAAAAAAGCCCCTTTGGATGTAATGTAAAATCTGAAAACTTTCAGACTTTTTAAGATTAAAATTATGCAGTTATGTTATTCTGTGCTGTATTTAGCTGCAAGATTATTGGAAACAAAAGCAGTACTTTGAAACACTTTTTAAATATATTTATTTGATTTGACGCATTTACGTTTGAAGTATATTTCATAGGTAAATGGTTATATGGGTTTTTTTCTAGAGCTAACACTTTTGAATGTACATAGTTCTCCACCCAAACATGTGTACCCTGAAGCCCAAATTTTTAATTTGTTTTATACTTTTGTTTTGTGTGAACTTAGTTAAATGCTGATTAATAAACTTAGCAATTTAAAAGCAATCTGTTATCATTTGGCAAAATGTAAAATATTTGTCTTTCAAATTTAATCAACAAACTTGGCAGTTTGGAAGAAAGTGGTGCCACTGCCCTGTATGAAATATATCTATCTTCCGTGCCTCAATGTGTTGCTATCTGGCAAAGGTTAAGGTATTTAATTTTGCTCTCGAATTTAATGTCTGTTATTTATAGATGAACTGAATATTTAAAAGCAATAAGTGCAATTCTTTATGTCTGTTAGTTACCACTCTACTCTCCATCGAGATGACAGCCAACCTATTATAGACCAACAATCTAACTAGTCGTTATATAGACTAAATGGGTTAAGTCATCGTAATGGCAAGTCTTAGTAATAAAAAGGTTACATGAGAATTACCATTTTGTCACATGCCATGTTGCATTTTTAGTGTTTCGTATGATGCAAGTTATATTGATATTTAACAGCAGAATCTGAAACTGTATTTTTCCTGTATAGGTTAACTGGGATTTTGAAATCCAAAAAATGTTGCTGTGTATTTATAGCTCAAGTTTAGCAGCATTTCTGATCAGTCATCAGTTCATACGAGATAAGTGCCTGTGGTAACTTTGGTAAAGAAAGGCCACTGTTTGGTGCACCCATACTTGAGGCTTGTCACAGTTTGTGCTGTTTAAAAAATGGCACAAATGTCTGAAGACAGTCATTGTATTTCTTACTAAGATTTAGTTAAGCCAAAAGGAATCAATTACTAAATCTATCCAATTGTTAATTTATGAATTATTATGATGTATTATGTATGGAATTTGTAGCTTTTGCAATTAGAAGCCTGTGATAATATTTAAGAGTGTATGTACTTTAATCATATCAAGTGTTTTTTTTTTTTTTTAAATTTTCTTTATATTTTATATTACCATAATAATATATGTTATAATAATGTGTTAATTAAAATACAGTAATATTATGTAATTATGATTATATTTATTACTTCTTAGAAATTTCTTTTAATGAGAGAGTAGTTAACAGTATCTCGATTTGTTAAAGAAATTATTCATCAAAATTTTTTCATTCCTCTTTAATCAAGGCTTTAATGTATGAGATTATTGTTATTTACATTTCAGAAGATGATGAAACTATAGCAGAAATATTTACTGTTCATCTAAATTTTTAAGGAAAACATTCTGAGTTTAACATTGCATTTAAGAGTAATATTTTTTGGCTTTTATAGAAATGATTCCTTCCTAGCTTCACTAGCTTAAAATCGCCATCTAAAGTTTTTGGATACTTTAAACTGAAGTGCATTGAGTTGCATGTATGCTGTTTCGTTAAAATATGTGTGCATATCTGGAATCTGCAATGTTTGAAGCATTCAAGTCATTATGTTAGCAAACAAAGTAATTATATTTTGTATGCTGCTTTTAGAATTTGTATTGAATTTATAAATTTATTTAAAAATGTTAAAATTTTAGAAGTGCAGTAAGACCGTATATCTGCAAATAGTAAAACAGTTTTATAGGATTGTACATTTGATAAAGTATTGATGTATTATTTAAATACAAGCAATGCAGTTGCAGTTTTATTATTTTCCACTGTTGAGGTCTTCCTGTTCTTGTAAAATATGTAACATATATTGTTGTAAAAGGATTTTGTATAATTTTGATATTTAGAAGTGTTCTGTATTTTTAATTTTGTTCTTGCATTTAAAGTCCTTGCTTTGAAAGACCAATATTTATAAGAGTTTATGAATTGTTTTTATGTTTCTGTAATAATGAATCTATGAAATAAAAGGGCATTTTTAATTAAAATACTATTTAAATTTTAATATCTGAAATTCTTTTTTTTTAATAATACTCTCCTCATTAAATACAGTAAGCCTCCATTAATCCAGATTAATTGGGAAGTGAGATTTGACCTACATTAATGGAATGTTCTCTTTCACACAGACACACACAGTATATATATATATAAGATAGGCAGTTTAATGTTTCAAATTATGCTTTTTGTGTTAATATTTTTTTATGTCAAAACATCTGTGTTGATTTAAAAAACATGGAATAAATACTGAAGAACAAAATTAGTGCTATTCAGTAATCAAATATTCAAATTGCATTTAATTTTAATACAATATTAATGGTTTAAAGGGGCTGTTTTTTTCCTCCCTCGAAAACAGATCCGTGATTTTATTTTTAATTTAGATTTGTGAAATTTAATGTTCTTAACATACTTTTAATTCATAGTTTGTTGAAAAGCCTAAATAAATTATTAAGCATAAATGCCATCTCTGGCAAACAAACTGGTTATTGTAAATTTGTATGGTTCATGTTATCCATTAAATCCATCTTCTTCTTTTCACAAGATCATTCATTATAGAAAATGAGGTTCTCTTTCACCAGTTAGAATCAGTTTCGGACTTTTTTGCCCAAAGAGCTGTTAGTCTCGAAAAGGCATTTTGCATGGGGTCACTGTAAATGTCCGTTTCACTTTTCAAATTGTTGCCACTAAATATTATTGCCCTGTATTATATTTAAAGAAATGAAATAATGAAGAATCTGCATGAAGGTACGTAGGTTTCTCACATTTTGAAAAAACAATAGTGCCTAAAGCCATCAAATTCTGAATAACACAGTCCTCCACCCAAATATGGGCACCTGGAAGCCCACATTTGGAATTTCAAATTTGTTTTGTTGTCTATTTTATATTTTATAAAAATTTAACAAGTTCTTGAATAACAAACTCGATAATTTCAAAGTGAGCAATGGCAACACTGTACAGGGGAAAAAAAAATATCTCCAGTCTGTCTGTCGGAAAGTCTAAGGGTATGCTGTTTTTAAATATTTTTAGCCCAAATGCTCTCGAAACATGTATGTTTGTGTAAATGAAAAAAATGCCCTTTTAGGTGTAATATAATATCTGAAAGCTTTCAGATTTTTTAAAAAAGTTTTAATTTCTGCAGTTGCTCCTATCATACCCGGCACTTTATATTAAAATCACCTTTCCTTTTTTTTAAAGGATGTCAATAATAATCTCAATCTTTTAACTCTCTGGGCATAACAGGAATCCTTCAATGCCATGATTAAGCCCTTTTTTTATTCCAAAAGGACTGTTATTTTGTACGTTGATTCCCTTTTTTCCCAGTTTATCCAACCCAAATCTGATTCATCAGGAGCTGGCAAAAGTTTTCATATGTAGTCATTCTTTTATAGTAAATTTTACATCTGTAATCCTTGAAGGGTTAAAAAGTTATCAACTCTTCCTTGTGAACTCAGTTGGATCTAAGATTGATACTAGTGACTAATTTTTCCATTTGTCTTATGGTGTTATCATTCATTCTGTCTTGAATACTACCAAATGACAAATGCTGTTATTATGAAAGACCTTTGTTAGAATTTCCTTTATGTCATGATGATCCTTCGGCCAAGTTGGTGTGAAAGCAGTGTGTTTATGTAAAAAAAAAAAGTATCTTGTGGTAAACCATTCAGTTTGCAAGCTATTTTAAGATGGGAGAGTTTTTTTTAATATCTGTATTTCTAACTTTGCAATGGATTACTACTAAACTCAGTGGCGCTACAGCCCTAGTGGGCCAAGGACAGCAGTGCCTCGAAATCTGCTTTCTTGACCGTGGGCCTCGGGGTGCATAAGCATATGCCCTGAACAAGTGGTCAGCTTATCGCAGGACCTCCAGTGTTTAGTCCAAGCAAATTTGGTACTCATTTTATCAACCCAAGGTAGGAAAGGCTGAGTTGACCTTGCCCAGCCCGGGGATCGAACCCCGAATTTGTGGTGCTGCTGCGCGATGCGCTAACCACTGCGCCACCGGGCCTCATTATGTACTATTACCTCCATAAAAAGATAATTTTTCTATTTTGTTATTCATTTATTCTTGAAAGTCTTGTTCACTTCTGAATGTCAGTCCTGCTTTTTTACTTTTTTATGAATGGCTTATAGCATTTTCATTCCAATTTTTAATGAACCATTGACTTAATAATATTAAATTATCTAAATTGTTGAAAAATCCTGGATTAGAAATATAATGGTTTCAAGTATTTTGCAAATTTTTCTGTATGCTTGTCTTATTTATATACATGGTATATCAACATTATGCTCATGGTAATCATTTAAATACAGTTTTCCACTGTACTTTTTTTTATCTTTTATAGTACATGTCTCTTCTGTCATGCTCCCTTTTGAAATTTCAGTGTTGCTAACTATTTCTTTTCCATTTCCTGATTATTAAAATGTGCAGGAATTTATTCGGAAACATTACCCCCCCCAGTTTACTTCGCAACTTATTAAAGATAATTAAAATATGTTTCTATTCAACTTTTTTTATTTCTTTATAATTTATGTATTAACTCATATAAAACAAATGTATAAATGTAATAAGAGCAGCAGTATGTCTTAGTACAAAATCAAAAATAAAATTTAGCAGCGAGTTAGATTTGAAGCAATGCAATGTACATTCTGTGCAATTACATTAATTCATTTCTCTTTCTAAATCTTGTGCACATATGAAACTATGAATATAATTTTCACATTTGTGATCCAAATTAATTGTGAAGTGATTAAGTGAGAAATTTCTGTATGTGAATTTCAAGAACTTTAAATAACTTGCATATTTTTGATGAAATTTAAGCATTTGTATAATGACTGCAAACGTTTTTAGCTTTAAAACACTAGTCAAAAAGCAGAAGAGACTTTTTAGTGCAGTATATAGTATTTTACATTTTTTTTAAATGTAAATTTACATTTTTTTCATTAGTTTCAAGTCCATTAAATTTTAAATGGTTATAAAATATGAAATAACTCATTTATGTTTTGTTATATTTAGAATGTCAGAGCCAAAATAGATTTCTTATAAACTGTAAATAAAACTCTAAAATTGATTTAATCAGAGAATTGTGATTTAATGGTGCAGAAATTATATCAGATAAGAAACCGAGTTTTTATTTATCTCCTTTTGTTCCAATTTCATGTTGCATTTATTTGTTATTTTTTTGTAAGACTAAATTTGTTTAGTTGTATAAAATAAATATGACTTTGTATTCATCTTTCTGTTTTTCTTTTCTCAATGTTTAAAATTTAAGGAACTTTCTTTCTTTCTTAGTAAATACTTTCTATATTCTAATTGACTTTCAAGTAAATTTTAATTGCATTGCAATTATTTGCTGTGGATTTTAAAGAGTTTCAAGAGCAATTTGAATTGAAGTTTGTTGTAGCTATAATACTGCAGTGCTATCTGGATATTATTTTTGGTTGTAAGTAAAGTCATTATTTCTATTAAATGTTTTGAAATCTGGATACATTTAAATTAAAAACATTTATTTCTGTTTAAAAATCGAGTGTATAAACAAATTTTAAGGGGAAAAACATGAATATTACATGTATACCTATTTTACATTTTCTTATGTATATTAAGATTATAAATTTTTCAATGGGTAGATGGAAGTATTTACTCAACCAAGGCAAGTAAGTGGGTAACTCTATGATACCTCACTTAACACAGTCCCTTCCAAGATGATATTAATTTATGTGAATCACTTTCCTGTAGGTTATGGGAATAACTTCAATTTTTATCGTGATCTGGATTAGTCCAAAATTTCAAAACAACGGAGAAAGTCTCAAAGGATATTTAAAAAATTAACCGATCTTAGTTAACAGGGTTCATACAGTCCTTAAGAGGCCTTAGGTTTTTGGTCCTTAAAAGTTCTTAATTTTGGCCAAAATCAGCTAAAAGTTCCATAATTTTAATCATCTGAAATTCTAATTGTTTGCTATGACTGCTATTTTGGAGGAATATATTTTGTGGATTCACTGACAAATATGTATTTGATGGATTATCATATGAATTTGTTCCTACTTGTAATATAAACGGTGCATTACTCAAGTTTCTGGGCAAGAAATGGAATAAAAGTATTTCAAAATTATTTCTTTTTTGCTAATAAAGAACTCATAAACAACTTTTTGCTTTAGGGGATGTGAATTCTTTTTGGCTCTAAATTTGGTGACTTTAATATCAATTTCTATGCATAATTTTTAATTTGGTGATTTGTGAAGTTTTCAACGATGTTTTCAAAACATTGTAACATTGATAAATTTAATTAAAATAATGATAAAACATTTTTATTTTCCCTGTAATATTATAAAGTGATTATACTTTCCATTTTGGCAACTTATTAATCATTATATTTTGAATGTGAAAAATAAAGCACAATTTTTACACTTGTTTTTGCAACTTTTTAAAAAATTCGGAGAATGTGTATCAATTTTTCTTATAAAATTTATTTTACACTTTTCGTTTCTGAATTTTTTTTTTCAAAAATCTTCTGGCTTTTTGCTGTTGCAGGATTAGTAGGAATAATTTTTCTTTCAGATTTTACACATTGCACTTCAGAAATTTTAGAAGGATTTGAAGGGTAAGATTTATAGACCTATGATTCCAGAAAAATGTGACAAAATGAAAAATTCCATCATGGTATTAATACATAATGTATGCATTTTACAGAAAGTTTGTGATGAATTTCCAACATTTAGGAGAATTTTTGGAGGAACAATGAAAGCATAATATTTGAATGTTTTTTCACTAAACATGTTTTTATCTTCCCTTTATTTTATTTTCACTAGATGCACACATAAAAAATATCAGAAATGCTTCTAATCTTATCACATTTACAGGCATATATAGAAAGGAATTTTCCTAATAGTAAAGAAATTGAAATCTTACAATTTAAAAGGTTCATCTTATTATGTTTCAGTGCATCATACACAGGGCTGCCACTATATATTTTCCCACTTTATGCAATCTCTGTGGGTTCTAAATTCTAAAAATTTTTCCACTCCTAAATTCTTATACAGGATTTTTTCTAATAACAAAGAAATTGAAATCTTACAATTTAAAGGACTCTTCTTATTATGTCACAGTCTTATACACAGGGCTGGCACTAGACATTTTCCCACTTCATACAATCTCTGTGGGTCCTAAATTCTGCTGCCTATCCTCAATTCTAAAACTTTTGCCATCCCTTGATTTTGTTGCTTGGTGCTTCACTAAATTCTAAAAATTCTGCTACTGACCCTTACTGTTCATATTGCTTAAATAAAATTTACAGTTTCTTCTATACATACATGAAGCTTTTTTTTTTAGAATAACAGAAATGTAAAATTCTAAAATGAAGAGGAAATTTATTGTGAATAAAACTTATTCTTTAAAGATATTTCATTGAGACATTGACAAATTAGGATATGAACCAGAAACTAGTGGGGACATTGGTTTGTTTACTGAAACACATTTCTTATTGTTAGAAAAGATGCTCAAAGAGAATGAAATTGATATAAATTTGCCTAAATGTCCGAGAAGTTTTCAAATTAAAAAGACACATTAATATTTTGACGTGAGTTTCTGTTACAAAACAAATTATTTGTAGATTTTAATATATAATCCTAATAATTTAAGAATCAATGTCATAAATTACATGTTTTGAACTGTAAATGATCTTAGATTGTGATTTTAATAGTGCTTTTCAACAGCTATTTTTGAAAAATAAATAAAATTTATTACTGGCCATGTAAATCTATAATGACCGAGGGTATCAACTGAAGTATGAGTATCCAGAAGCCCAAATTTTAAATTTCAGCCCAAAAAGAACTGTTAGTCTCAAAATGAGATTTTTCATTGAATCAATTTTCATTCAAGTTTGCTATTTGATCATCAAATCAAGTTTTGGAAATTTGGGGTATTTCAGCAAAACCCTTGGCTGAAATTATACTAACTGGATTTATCAGAATCATTACATACATTTTCTTTTTTATGATTTCTATTTTAGACACAAGTGGAGCATTTTGTAACATTACCCATAATTTTTCAATTCAGTTTTGAATTATGTGTCTAAGGACTGGCTGCTCTTCTCATGTATCAGCATTTTTTCTCCAGGTGGGAGTTCTTGGTTCCAAGAAGTTGCCTAAAAGAGTTTTAACTTCTGTCTTCTTCAGGATAGTACTTAAGTAATGCATTACCTTGTCATTCTTATTATACAAATCTTTCCCATCCCCCATGTCATCTGAAATGAAATTCCGACCCTGTTTGGTTGTGAACCTTTTCCCACTTACTCAAGATCCTTCATGGTTGCACTAGGTATATAATCTTTGTATTTTCCTGCTGTTCACCAGAAGAAACTTTCCTTTGGGTTTTTCCATGTTCCTGCTCTAGGAGACTTGCAATTCAGTGATAATATAGTTATTATAAAATAATGAGGAGTCTGTATGAATGCATGTTTCTATGCTCCTTGCATGGTGGAAAAACGATGGCACCTAGAGCGACCAGATTTTGAATATACATTGCCACTCCTAAATTCTGACCTCCAGTGTGTCATGTCTGCTCTGTGGAGGTTAGCATTTTTCTGTTTGACCTAAAGAATAAGTGAAGCTGCAATGTTACCATGTTTAAATATCGGCTAACTAGATCTAAATTAATTATTTAAGGAATTATTTACTGAAAAGTTTGGAAATCATCAAAATTGTAACAATTCCAGTTCTCAGACTTTGAATTGTATTTGGTTATACAAACTTTCTAAGACATCCTATCTATATATACAAACACACATATATATATTAATATGGCTGTTTACATGGGAACAAATTAAGTCATGACAAAGAATAAAAATAATTATTCTTTAATCAAAGTAAAATATTGCAGTTCTAAGAGACTTTTACAAAATAAATAACATGCATAACTTTAAGTATAGATTTCAATTGACATTTACAAACCAATAAATAAATATTTGTATATATTTAATTTGTAGTTAGCTATTTAGCTAATATGACATGAATTGGAAAAACATTTGAAAGTAATAAATATAGTAATTCTTTAAATTCTTTACATGGACAGTTATTTCATCTTGAAATTGAAGAACCGATGGCATAACCAGTATAGCGTGTATTGTTAAGCATTCCGTGGAGGATAGGAATAACTTTAACTGCAGATATGTCAGCCAGTATATTCTAAAATGTAAATTAATACTTTTTACTTTCAATTTATTTAGTAGCCAGATTTATAGTACAACTACTACTATCTTCTAGCATGCATCAAATCTATGCTATTTGGTAACTGCCAAAAGGTTAACTATTTAAATACATAGATTTAGTTCAGGATCATAACAGTAAATGAAAAATATCACATGAGAAAGAGGTCTAAATTTTTATGTATTAGTATATAATGTATCCTAATACATAAAAATATGTATTAGTATATAATGTATACTAATACATAAAAATATGACATTAGTATATAATATCAAATCTATTCCAAAGGTGAAAATTTGGAAAATCACTGCTTTAAGAAAATCAAGTTATAAAAATAATTTTCAATATTATTTATACATGTACAGGTGACATATAAATATGTGTTTGTCAAAATTTGAGGATAATCTAGAAAATTTTTTTAACTGATTAAGTTTTTAACCTTTGTTTCATGATATAATTATTTATATTAACTACTCTTGGAACTGAATGCTAAATTCTTCCATGCATTCCAAAGGCAAACACAAAACAGTCAGCTAAGATCTGAATCTCTTTCAGAAGTTCACATCAAGAATTTGGAACCTCTTTTTTTTTTTTTTTTTTTTTTTTTTTTTTTTTTAAGCAGCGAATCAGCAGACTATTCAGTCAAGGGCAGCCAAGAACAAAATAGCGTTTGAGTACCATTTTTTGTCATCTTCAGCTCAAAGAAACATTGCAATGACTAAATGAAAATTAGGCTGGCTTCAGATTGCCAGAGGAACTCAAATCTCTTGTTCTGTTGTTGCATGCAGTTCTCTTGAAATTAGACTTTATGCAAGAAAACCAAATGGGTATGTATTTCACTTCCAAGAGGTCCATTTAAAGTGTGCCATTGCTATGTTCAGTGCAGCCAAGATGAATGGGACAATGTACTTTATACTGACATGTTTAGTATAGCCTGAACTGTATTTCTAAACATGTTTTGATTTGGAGGCAGCAAGAAATGTCAACTTGTCTTCCCGTCTTCATTACAGATCCCAATTCCACATATGTGGTTTTATAGTTCGAGTGGATTCATCTTGATGGAAATTCTGATTCTGTAACCTATCCCAGATTTGTGAACAAGGTCTTTAGAACTCCATGTATTTAGTTCCTCTATTAGCTCAAATATTTTGCAATAGATGACAGTGCTCATCTTCAGTCAAAAATGAGATAAATTATTCTAGGTTGACAGGGTGAGACCATGTTTAAATATAAATAAAAAGTACAGCAGCTTTGTTAGCTGAAGCTAGAATGAATGGTTTGATCACATTTGCCATCTTTTATTAGATTTTGTAAGCTTTATACTGTACTTAGAATTGATGTGAGGAAGGGAAGGTCTCTTTTAAAGCATGGATTAGTGGTGATTTCAAATGCTTGTTTAATTTTCAGGCTGTTTTTATGCTGGGGTTTGGCAATCATTTTGGCCTGTCCCATTTAATTATTGAGCATGGCAACTCAGCAAAGTATTTGACTAAAGATGTACTATTGCTGTTGATGGATTAGTCAGCAGAGACCTTTAAGATATCTTTTTTTAGTTTCAGTACTTCTTATTGATAGTTCTCTTAATGTTGAATAATATATATTGAATTTCAGTGCTTGTATCTTTTTTTGTGCATTGGGATAGTATATCAAATTTAACTGACAAATTTAACAAATTCCCAGATGGATGGGTTTGAGTGATGGCCAAGCTTACAGCCACATCTTTTTAAACATGTAGCAAATGCTTGAGTAATCAGACAGTAGGTTTCTATATATAGTTCTGATAGTATATATTCTATATATATAGTTCTGATAAATATACTATTGATTAATGCCTGTATTGGTAACAACTTTACTTTTTGAGAAATAATTGTAGAAGCTTGTTCATTGGTTCTTCCACAAAATCTGGAGGATGTTTATTGTTTTCAGCAATTTGTAGCATCTAATTATAATCAGTTTCATAAAAGATTGGTATGGGACAAACATTTTTGGAATGCTTCAATAAAAAATAAAAGGCAGCTTTTTTATGTGGATGAACAGGATTATTCCTGTGATGTCAACCGGTTTGTGATAAGGATTGTAATCTGAAGAGAACATCTGTTTCTTAAATTTAATCAATCAGATAAAGAAACTGAATACTATTATTGATTTTTCTATCAGTCCTTAAGCTGCAAGTTAAAATTTTCTGAAATAACAGATAACAAAGCTTTAAACAGGCACAGCATAAAACAGCCTCAAAATTAAAAAAAAAAAAAAAAAAAAAAAAAAAAGTGTTTGAAAGCACTACCAAGTTGCATTGCAACAGAGATATTCCCTTCAATCTTCTGTACATTCAGATGCTTTTTCTAAGAACAGCAACCCTCCGGAGAAAAATGAAGGATAATGAATGTGATGAACGCATCCATTCCGGTTCCAGCTGGTGGATCATCTGTAAAAAGCTCCTGTACTTCTATTTATGTTTAAATGTGGTTCCAGTATGTAAACCCAGAGTATTTTCTCATTTTTAACTTCATTTTTACCTCAGTTAATTTTAAAAATGCTCATTTGCATCAAGCACCTGTAGTGTCAGAATACTTACAAACAAATGATATCACTTGAATGGACTGACCACAACTGAACCTGACTGAACATATGAGAACTAATTTGTTTCCCTCATCACATTGGTGGTTCTTGACGTCACCTTGTATTGAATAAGCACACTTTTTTCCTTCTAATACTTCTTAATGAATCAAAATATATTTAAAAAATTGTTGGAGTTGCATTATACTTCATTTAACTCCCTCTTACCCCACCTCTATGTGACCTCACCTATTCACTCTCTCAGCACTAAGTTTTAATTAATTATATACAGGTGCTACAGTATCCTTTATAACTTTTTCCACAGCTATTCCCAATTCTACTCTTATTAAAGAACAAAAATTTATACAACAACAATCAGAATATAGGAAATCAATATTCTTCTGCATAATTAGAATAACCTAATAGTAACATAAACTTTAGCATAATAAGCATCAGTAAAAAAAATATTTACAAAATAAATTTGATAAAGTGACACAATTGACATTATTAATGAAATGAAACAATAAACTAACGATCATAATGGACAATAACAAACTCAAAAATGTGATAATCACTAAATAAAGAAATGCAATAAATAAATGTGGTTTAATTAAAAATGTTCCTATAGTTCAGATTTTAAAATGATATAAAAGTTGAGTATATTTTCTAAATTGTCCTTTCGGTGTATGAACAATGCAGACTTTTGCATGTCCATCTCTGCCTGTTAGCACATCTTCAAAAGTACCCATGTCCCAAAGCAGTTTTTTATCCCTCTACAAGAACACCTCCTTTTTTAATGTTGTGCACAGAGGAACGACTTAAAAAATGATGAGCATTCCTCAATTGCAGCAAATAGTGTTCCTTCCATTTAGACCATAATTGCTTGAGAAACCTTCACCAATAGAATTTCCTCCTTGTTGGTGTTTCTTGATCTGCAGCTTTGTTGAAAACTTTTCTAAAAAGTAAAGGAAAACTAATCCTTACATCCTGGAAATAAGAAATGCAATGGTGTGAGAGGGCAAGGTTCATCCAGCTCATTACACTCGTAAGTTAATGGTCTATTATTTAAAACACGTTCTACTAAGTATTGTTGTTAATTTCTCATTTGACATGAAAGCTCTTCCTAATATTTTCTTTATAGGTTCCTTGATACTGTTCATTATACATTCGCAGAATCCTCTCCACCGTGGAAAATGCTTAGAGATGAACTTTCAGGTGACACATAAAATGTTATGAAGTCTTTCAGTCTACGATAATCCTTCTGAACCCCTTGAGTATTTCAATTGAGCTGCGAAAAGATTTTGTGTTATCTGAACAGATCACTTAACAGCTTCCTCTTCTAAGTAGAAAATGAAGAGATAAACTAGGTCTTGCATTGGAACATATACATTTAATTTTGAGTGCATCGATAATCAGTATAGATCCACTTTTAATTTTTTAATGCAAGTCTTTTTCTTTTAAACTCTGTCACTGGCAGATTCGAAAACACAAAGGTGTAAATTCTTAATCTTTTCCAGCTAAAAGTTGGCTATTCTGCCTTTCCAGAAATTTATTAACACACATAAGATCTTTCGGATGCAGAATCACACAACAACCTTAATACTAAATGTGGAATTATTTCTGACAAGTGTGTGCCCTCAAGTATGGTAATAAATCAGATCATTAGGAACTTGTTTACTCAACATTTTAAGGGAAAGTGGGCTAACATTTGTTTCTTTTTCTTTTTATTCTATGCATTTTTGTTGCATTTATGGGTCTCACAAACTCTGTAAATGCTATTGAGATTTCCAAATGTTACATTTAACCCATTTTGCCTTACAAAATGGTTTTTTACGACTACTTTTTTAAACAGAACTTGCACTTGAATTGGTCATATAATGCTCTGTTTTTCTGAAATATGTAAGTCACAGTCTTTTCAGGGGCGAGATTTAGAACAAAAATCATACATATATTTTTAAACTAATGTATTAAGCGTCGCTGCTGAAACAATCTTCCTTTTAAATGGAACGAAATTCTTATGATAATTCTCAGTATTTCTTTTGCTGTTTCTCACTGTTTGTTGGTTAAGACCAAGAGTTAAGAACTTTTCACTGTTGACTCTTTGCTGGAATTTTGTTTTCTACTAAAGTGTAATACTAAAACTTATATAAAATGGAAGTAGTAGATTACCATAAAAGTTAAAATTAATATCTAATCTTTTTAAGCTTCTAGTTTGAAATGTTATTTCATCATGTAATTTTCTTAAGCTGGATATATCACTCGAATAATGTATAATAACCAAAGATAGGAGAATGTTCGTATGTGCACTAACTAACATTTCTTTTTTCCTATGATGCTCAGTTAAAATTGGAATTTTTTTTTTAACAGTTTTCTGCTATTAAAAATAATTTGCTTAGGTTTTGCAGCTGAACCAGTGTGTAGTG